AACGTCTTTCGACGCGGGACAACACCAATGGACTCTCGTGCGTAATTTTCTCTTTCATCGTGGTATATTTATTTTCAAAATATATCCACGGAATCCGGGGCTACCGCTAATCTGACCGGGCTGGACCTGCCGAACCACGGATCCGGTACCGCTATCTGACCGGCTGGACCTGCCGAAACCTTCGGCTCTGATACCACTTGTTAGGAAATCAGCTCTGATACCACTTATTGGGCCCTTTCAACCAATTAAGAGAAAATAATTACGGCAGTGGAAAAATAGAAATGGGACACACAGAAATTTACGTGGTTCACCCTCAACTCTTTTAGGGCTACGGCCACGGTACAAACTCCGAATCATTCTTCCACTATTAAAACAATAGTAGGTACAAAGAGAGTAATACAAAAATAGTGACACACAAAGTGTTTCCCAAAAACACCCTAGATAATCCTCACTATTTTTCTTCTCCCCTGCGTTTTAGGAACCCATCCTAAAACGGTACACTCTCTCGCTACATTTTCTCTCTCCGTTTCTTGGTGTGTTGTTGTTGCGTTCTGCCTCATGCCTCTAATTTATAGGCAGGTTAACGCGTAGGAATTGGCGTGTACACTCATTTTAAGTTGCACGCCCATGTGCAGCAATTAAACCATCACTGTGACAATTCAAAACCATCACTGTTGAACTGGCTGCTCCTATTTTTTTTTCTTACTTTCACACATGTGGGTCCCATTTAAGTGGGCACACCACAACATTGATAGTATCCAATACTTGTAAGTTACACCAACAAATTTGACCAACCCTAGTAGAGACATACTCGTTTATACTTTATACGTGTAACCACAATTTATAAGATTAATATATCTTAGGCCGGATTTTTAGACTCACTTATGAACCAAACTAGAAATTTTTTTTTTTTAAACGATGATATTTCTAATCATATACTAAAAAAAGATATATTTTTTTTAATATTTAAGAAAAGAGATTCGAATATGGATATATTATCAGCTTGTATATATATTTATCACTATGCTTTGCCTTAGCGTGCTCCACAAGATATTGATCTATACATATATCAATAATAACGATTCATGTTTCTGACATAAGAGTTAATTTCAATACTAGAGTTTTGTGAATAATTAATTAAAATTAAAGTACATTAAATCAATTAATTAATATCATTTGTAACATGATATTTTTAGATATTATTATAGTTACTAATTAATTGTTGACCATCAATCACTAAATGTTAAACCAATTTTAGTAAGGAAATATATTAATTTCAACATCTATAATATTAATATTATATCTTGTTGATTAGAATTAAGATTATTAATACTACCAACAAGAAATATATTTCCTTAATTTCTGCTTAATTAATTTTGATTAATTATAATAAAATGGTGAATTTAATGCAAAAATATATAAAAGAACATCTTATGAAAGGCCCAATTTTAAAACTCATTGTTTTTCTAATTTTTTTTTAAAAGGTTTTTCTAAATTTAAATAATAAGTTCGTTTTCTCTCTATTTTATTAACTAATCTACAACTATAAAAGTCATGTTAATAAGTTATGCATTTTTCTAATTTTCAATCTAAATGATTTATTTGAAATCAGTTTTTCTTTTTGGGTTTGAATATATTCAAGTAAAATCTTCTCGACACAACTTCAAATTTGACTTCTTGTGCTTGCACTTTTAATATATCTTAGATGAAGATGATTTAACATAACGATTCAATAAAAATAAAAGGAAAAATAATAAATTGATCTCTGATTTATAGTCAAATTACTAAATGAAAATTTTTATTTTTAAAAACTAATTATAAGATCTCTAATTCATGATTTCATTAACACGTTGATCCTTCCGTTCAAAATATTCTCTTTTGATTGGTCATTAATTTAGAAATTGGTCCCTAAATTATGGTCAAACTGATAATGAGGTTCTTATGATTATTGTTAACACATTGATCCTTCCCTTATGTTTTCTTTTAACACTTTAGTCCATCTGTTTTGGACAAAAGAACCAAAAGTGTTAATAAAAACATAATTTAGGGACGTATAATTGTTTTTGAAAATGGAGATTTGATTATAACTCAAGGACTAATTTATATATTTTTTTCAAATAAATTCTAGCTTAAAAATGTTTAAAAAAATAAATTAATTATGAAAGTTGGATGAGAATCGAGAGGTGAGATATGAGAATAATAGTTCAATAAAAATAAATATAAGTTGAAAACACCAGAAAGTAAAATAATTATGTTGATTAAATGAAAATCGAGACTTGAGATATGGGAATTAAAACTCGTGTTAGAAGAGTTAATTTTATATTAAATTTTCTTTACTTTTTTTTTTAATTCTTTTAATAATTTTTAATAAAATATTCAATTTTTCCCCTATGAAGACCATTCGAGACATCCATCCATCCAACGGCTAATAGATCACGTAAGATTGACACTTATCCATTATAATTTTGTGATTGCAACAATACATTTTTTGCATTAAATGATGTATGTGTTGGTTCAATTCATGTTAAGGTTTATTCCCACTATGGTAATAAAAAATATTAAGGATTAATTAGAATGAAAGACTAATTTGAGGTAATTAATTTTAGTTTTACGTGTCCATATTGTAGTTTTCATTGATTGATTTAATTTAAAGTTCTCATTCAACTTAAATTAGAAACAAACGTGACATTAACAATTTTAATTTCATCCATACTCATACTTTATTTTTAATTATAAAAAGCTTAATGACAAATAGTTATGGATTTTAACATTTTTTTTCTTGCATAAATTGTCCCAAAAATACTTAAACATATTAAAATAATTAATCATATAAGTATTTTCAAAGATAAGTTAAAGAACATATGTGTTTATTTTTTAAACATGATTCTAATATTAAAATTTCTAAATGGTATAATTTAGTGATAAATTCATGTATGACTTTACAATAGAACCAATTTAAATCTCCTCCTCCAATGCTAAAAAAATTCAATAATTTTCTTGTTAAAAAATTTAGAAATTTAATTAAAAATATCTACTTCATATTTTAAACAAGAAACATCTCATTCCCTAAAAAAATAGTAAATATTTTAAACTATAATCTTGTTGAAATTCTAAAATGAGAAATAAAAATAATTAATTTAATTAATGAAATACAATAACAGAAAGTAACTAAAATCATATATAAACTTCATTATTTAATGACGAATAATTTCTTATAATTATAAAAATTAATTAATTATATTTTTCATGAATATTGTATAAAATTTCAAAAAAAAAAACTCATAAAGAAGATAAGTTTTAATTGTTAAAAAATTACATAAAATTAATTTTTTCACCATAGATGGTTCAATTCTAATAAAACAAAAATATTGTAGCTTTGAACTTATTATTCCTTTAACTTGTAATAAAAGGAAAAAGAAAAGAAAAAGATGATGAAAGCATGTAAGCATATGAGGCATTTTGTAATTGGTCTACCATCACAAAATGTTGTGGTGTAAAATGATTGTGGAGTGGGGAATGGGAATAGCTTTGGAGTAGGAGATCCAACATTTGATGACTTAAGTTTCTAAGTTTTATATCCATGCCATTATGAAATTCTTGACCTTAAACCCTCACCTTATAATTCAAATACATATAGTTGCATAGCTAATCATTAATCTTTTTTGTTATTGAATGTGAATGGCTAGATTGAGTAATTAAAGAGAGGTTTTTTTTTTTATTATTGAAAAATCTGATGTGCCAAAATAAAACTGTGAGTTACGTTATACAAAATAGTCCTTCCTTGAACTCACTAAATTAGTGAAAACACTTATGGTCGAGAGGACTCGAACTTGAGACTCTCACTCCTTACATAAGTGAGAAGACCAACTCAACTAAATCTAATTGGCTAAAGCGAAGTTTCTTATTTTAAGAAGAAATAAAATAATTATAGTTGGTCCACGTAGAATTAATTATTGATTGATTTTATGGAAGGATGCCATGTATGTGTGTAGATATAGCTTGTCATGGCAGCAATTAGGCTTTGATAATAATATGATGATGATGATATATAGAATAAAGATTCAATGGATTTATATGTCGCATCTAGTTATGGATTTGGTGTTATACTTTTGATTATTTGGACAAGTTAAGGATGACGTACTTAGAATATAATTAAGAGCTTGATTAAGACCATCATTAACTTTAATAAGCTATAAGCACAAAACATGATGATTGATGACACTTCCATTTTATTCCAAGAAAAAAATAAAATGAAATAAAAAATAAGTTCCGAAAGGTAGCTAGCAATAAGTTTCTGTTTGGAGTTTCTTTTAAAAAGCGGATTTTGAATTTTTTTTTTTAAAAAGAAAATCATGATTTGGAAAAAAGGTAAAAGATCTCATTATTTTTAATTCATGTTTATATATATATATATATAATCGAGATGTGTAATCCCCTCAAACAATAGAGCATAAATGTTTTTGACTCTTTTAGCAAAGTGAACTATCAGCGATCGAACTTGTATTCTCAAATTTACGATGATTTATCACTTTAATCAACAGTTTAAAGGTATTGCAAACGCAAATTATGAAAAGCATAAAAATCACAATGCCAAATAATTAGGCACTAACTATAAATTTCAATTCTATATATTTAATTTAATTGCAAAGTTGAAGTTATTATTTATTAGGCCGAATAACTATTTGAATGTTTATATTAGGGATAATAATAATTTTACCATAAGAATTTTTCAAAATTTTCCATTTTAATGCATGAATGGAAAAATATTAAAATTAATTAATTGAATAAAAAAATTTTCAATCAACTATTGAGCAAGACAAATAAAAGTCAGAAAGAAGCCCGTTACGGACAACCCACGCAATAATCCGGCTCAAAAGTGCCGGGCTTTTAGCCCAACAAAAAAATTTGATTCAAAAAGATTAAAGAAATAAAATAATAAAATCAGTAATATTTAATGAACAATATCCTAAAAAATGTTTGCATTTGTGTTCCCGCGCTGAGATTCTATTGAGCCGAAAATCTCATATTCAAACCGTGAAAAAGAAGAAGAGCTGGAAGAAGAAGAAAAAATCGTTTTTCTCATTCGAAAATGCCCCAGCATGCAAATTCTCCGCCAAATTCATGCGCGTATCCTTACGCACGTTCCTCCCATTTCCTCCGTATCCTTCTTAATCTCCAAAATCCTCTCCTTTGCAGCTCTCTCTCCTTTTGGCAACTTCGATTACGCACGCAAAATTTTCTCTCAAATCCCAAACCCAGGCATTTTTGCGTACAATTCAGTTATAAGGGGTTGTTTGTACACTAAAATCCCATCAAAGGAACCCATTCATTTGTTCAAAGATATGGTTGGAAAAGGCTACCCAAACCCGAACACTTTTACTATGGCTTTTGTGCTCAAAGCTTGCTCAATTATAATGGCTCTTGAAGAAGGTAAGCAGATTCATGCGCAAATCTTGCGATCTGGGTTTAGCTCGAGCCCTTATGTGCAATCTTCATTGGTGAATTTTTACTCGAAGTGTGAAGAAATAACTATTGCTAGAAAGGTGTTCGACGAAATTACCGAGAGAAATTTGGTTTGTTGGAGTGCAATGGTCAGTGGCTATGCAAGGTTAGGAATGATTAACGAGGCTTTGATTATGTTTCGAGAAATGCAAGTGGTGGGTATTGAACCTGATGAAGTTTCATTGGTAGGTGTACTATCTGCTTGTGCTATGGTTGGAGCACTAGATATAGGGAAGTGGGTTCATGCGTATATCAAGAAACGGATGATTCATGTTGATCTTGAGCTTAATACAGCTCTAATTAATATGTATGCCAAGTGTGGATGCATAGAGAAAGCCAGAGAAATTTTTGATGAGATGAGAGTAAAAGATAGTAAAGCTTGGAGCTCAATGATTGTTGGATTGGCCATTCATGGACTTGCAGAGGATGCACTGAATGTGTTTTCGAGGATGGAAGAAGCACAGGTAATGAGATAAAAAAAAAAAGTAAACCTGACAGTTCTGATGATTAGAGCAAAGAAAGAAGGTGATTTAGAGGCTCAATCCCAATTCTTTTGTTGTCTGCACACTGGTCTAAGCATCCCAAGCTAAGTCTTTTCATAAAAAGATTCATTATTGCGTTTTTTTAGTCTTTAATGAACAAACTTTAATGGATGAAGCAAAACAAACATAAATTAGGTGCAAAAAAACTATAGCTTGACATATAATTATGTAAGTATACACATACACAAGTATTAGGGCTGAATAGATCAATTCTCCCTTGAACTATTTGGAGAAAGTCTACTGCACCCTTGACCTTTTTATTTACACTTGTTGAGCTGTTGTACTCTTAAATTTTTGTTTTTGACTTATTGGACCCTTTCAAGTTTCCCATTTTGTAACTCGTAAGTTACCTTTAATTGCTGATCAATGGGTAATTTAACAAATGATTATCTATAAATTAAAGGAAAGATATAAAATTACATTTTATCATATTATCTATTGCTGAGATATGCAAATACTTTTACGTAGAAAAATAAAAATCTAGGGATGCAATAGCTACAAATTAAAAATATAAACTTTTCCTGGTTAGTTCAGAGTATATTTTATATAGGCAAATACTTTTGAGTTATGAAAGATCAACCTGTCCTTTTAATGGGTCAAATTATTGATATAAATTTTCATAAATGTCACAAATAATCTAAGTTAATTCTTTTCAGGCCAAGCCGAACCATGTAACTTTCATTGGTATTTTATCTGCATGTGCCCATGGTGGACTAGTTTCAGATGGAAAGAGATATTGGTCGAGCATGCTTGAATTAGGAATAGAACCTTCAATGGAGCATTATGGTTGTATGGTTGATTTACTATGCCGTGGAGGCCTTATTGATGAGGCCTATGATTTTGCACTAATCATTCCCACACCAGATCCAGTAATTTGGCGAACATTGCTTGTGGCTTACACGAAAAATCGGATGTTACAGAAAGCTGAAATGGTTGCTGGGAAGCTCCTTGAATTAGAACCATGGAAAGCAGAAAACTATATCATTCTTGCAAATTTGTATGCTTCTGTTTCACAGTTGGAGAAGGTGAGCCATGTAAGAAAGATGATGAAGGAGAACGGCATCAAGGCATTGCCAGGATGCACATCTATTGAGGTTGATGGCTTTGTGCACAACTTTGTAACGGGTGACTGGTCGCATCCTGAGGCAGAGGAAATAAAAAAAACTCTAAGGGATGTCGCTCTGAAGATTCTTATTAGTGGGTATAAACCGTTTGTTTCTGTTGTACTGCACCTCGTGAATGATGAAGAGAAAGAGAATGTTCTATACGAGCATAGTGAGAGGCTGGCCATTGCTTATGGCTTGATGAAAACAAAGGCACCAGCAACTATTAGAATTGTAAAGAATCTGAGAGTTTGTGGAGACTGTCATGAAGTAACAAAAATTATCAGTAAAATTTATGATAGGGAAATTATTGTCAGGGATCGGGTTCGTTTCCACAAATTCGTCAACGGCACGTGTTCATGCAAAGATTACTGGTAAATGCCAACATTATGATTCTCACCTCACCATTAGTATAATTGGTTCGATCAAAGTTTTGCCATATATCAAGCAACCGTTGTTCTTTGGTCTGAACTTTAGGAATTGTAGTGAACTTTTTCCCTTTTTCCTCTTGAGAATACAATTTTGCTTCATGTAATTCATTCCTTTGTGCTTGCAATTTTTTTAGCTCGTGTATTAATTGATGCAATAGAAACACTCAGCTACCATATTACGTTCTTCTTTGCAGTAGTAGTTCTTTTCTAGTACTTGCCATTTTCAGAACTAATGGATTCCATTTTAATACCTCCGAGTATCTATGAAATCAGTTCCTATCTATCTGAAAGCTGTTGATATTACTTAGAAAAACAAAATAATATTCATTCATGTCGCTTAATAGTATCTTCTCTGCAAGATCACCAGATGAAAGTTCCAACTACTATTCAGGCCTACCTCACATGAAGAAAAGAAAAGATGTTGAAAATAGGAAAGGCAAAGGAAGAATTTATTTTCTCCTCTGCAGACGTATGGCGGAACAAAAGAAAACTTAATATTATTTGCAAAATGCTTGGAATGATTCAAAAGGAACATGAATAATATGATTCAAATCTTAGTTCATAGAAGTAGCCAAATGTTAGAGAGAGAGAGAGAGAGAGAGAGAGAGAGAGAGGTTAATAGCCAACCAAAGTGATACAGAAAGCTCACTTTCTAATTCCAACAATATTTCAAATTGTAGAAATGGATATGAATTTATCAAATCCTTAATAACTATTGGCAACCTTTCATTTTGTTTTGCAATTTATAGTTGAAATGAAAATAGGGAGAAACACGTTATCATCCTAGTTTTTCTCAAGTCAATTAGTAGTTAATTTTGTTAGGCATCATTAAGATCCTATCCTAAAATGTTATATTTAGATGTTATAACATTTTAAAAATATTTTCCCATATCTTTATGACATGTTTCCAACAATCAAAATGAGCTGACAATAACTTTTTCGACCTGCAACGGAAACGGAAAAAATGGAACTCAGAAAGAGAAAATTTCTAATAAAAGCACTTCATTACCAATAAGATGGGATACATGATAGAGCTACACCCCTAGCCCCACCTCCACCCCATAACAATTTACAGAGCGATCTCACAACCCATCATCACTTGAAGCACCCACATGCACAAAGCTTTTATTACTTAAAAGCTCTCATGCCCCTACTAAAGATGGTGAGAAGTCTGTGTCACCCGCCTAAAGACGTTGATATTCTAGTATAGATGGTACTCGATACAATCTCTCAAGCTAAATCTAGGTAAGCTACAATTTATATCTGGATCTCGACAGGCCATCTATACATTTCTTCCTCTGGAACAGGCAGAGTCAAGGACACTAGTCCAGTATCCAAGTCATAGTTGAAGTCGGTCTCAGCATCACCCACAATGCATTTCAGCGGGCGTTGGGAACAGTAAGCCCCAAACCGTCCACATCCCCGGACTTTCAGAGTGATTGTTGCAGTTGGGGATCGATTCTCACCAAGTGAAGTAGTCAGCTCGGATGAAACCTCACCATCGAAGAGCTCTGGCTTCTTGTCAGAAGCACTGTGGATTTCAAACTTGTCAACAGCACCACTGGCGTTGAACATGTCAAGCAACCCTATTGGTGCAAATGAAATGTTGCAAGCGATCTGCTGTTTAATCAGTGGTAATATCATTGAGCAAACAGTTCAGTTGTGTAATTAATGGGTGATAGATAAAGAAAGAAAGGGGGGAAAAAAAAAGAAACTGAAATATACCTTGATTGGGCAGAAATGGAAGAGTTCATACTCAAGAACTTTCAGCGTCACTGGCACTGAAGCACCCTTTGGTAATCGAATTAACTCACCTGAAATTCAGAAATAAAAGAATACCGGTTTTGGTTAACATCTTTTAAATCCAGAAGCTGACAACGGGAGAATATTGAACCTTAATCCTTCTTAAGGATTATCTAATTTTTTCCTTGAAAGAAGCAACGTAGTGTAAATCCAAGACTGAAAAATATAAATGTGAATATATATAAAAGGAAGCACAACAAACGGGCATTTTAAATCTATCTTTTGCAGGGAGGTCTAAAATTCATTTGTATTAGAAAAGGGAAGTAACAATAGTAAATTACCTGATCTATAGGCATATACTACTGTTTCTCCGTTCCAATCAGTACCAGCAATTTGAGCAATGCAGTCAACATCAGTAGCACGAACAGAGGCTGTGAGGGTACCAGGAGAAGCATCGTGAATACGGGTCTTCTTTTCAACCTTGCACCATCCCGCACCTTGGCAGTTGAACACACCAACCACACCAGTGCATTTGTTCACGTTCCAAATCTTCAGCAAACTTGTCCCATCTCTTGCTGGATCAACAAAAAGACAGTCGCGTGTTGGCCTGCCAGGAAGTTGGGCACGCAGAACTGATCCGTCAGGAAGGACCAGCTTTTTCAATAGCTCAAAATTGTGGTTGCCAGGCTTGTCACTGAAAAAGTGAAAAAAAAGGAAGATAAAAACAAAGTTTCCACATGAGAATCTTGTTAATAATTCCTCTTTCATTATTACTCTTGGTGGGTAATTTGATTTTACCTGACATATATCGGACAGCCACCAACAGCACGTCCTGCAGCGTGATAATCTGCAGCAGGGTGTAAACTCTGCAAATAAAGTTGACACATAAATTGTTAACAAATAATATAATACTTCCAACAAAAAAGCAGGATAAAATCCTTTGTTTGCTTACATGGAACATATCCCAGTCTGGTTGCATAAATTCTCCAAGGAAAAGAGTGTTGTAAGCCACAGAAGAAATATGAACGGTGTGAGAAGCAGGGTCTCTAGGATAGAAGTCATCAGAAGCTCTGACAACAGCAGTCTGCTTGGCACTATATAGTCCATCAGTGTTATGGCACATGCAAGCAATACATCCATTGTCGGGGAAGTTTCGTGCAATTGAAGCCTCAAGAGCTTGGTGATAACTGCGGGTGAGGGAAACTCTTCCACCATGGCCAGCACCAAGGGTCTCAATAATGTTCTGAACATCAACTTTTACTCCATCTACTCCACAAGAGGCCAAGTAGGCATGAAGCTCATTGTAGAAGTCGAAAACCTTTTTGGGATGCACCAAACCAAGGCCATGAACAGAAAGACTGTCCATTACAATGTCTGGTTGGTTGCCTAATACACCTGGTGATTGAACTGGATATGCCAACAAAGTGTCATAATGTTCCATACCAGCAGCAGCTGGTTTTACTCCTCCCCAGTAGCCCGCTAAAGCGTGCCACACATACACATACCTGAAATAGATGATAGAACAGAATGAGGAGAAATATCAGTTCTAAGCTACGGCCTTATTACAACACCTTAACCTTTTATCAATATGACTAAAGTTAAATGATAACACACAACCAGCTGCAGTACAAAACTATATTATTTTCAAGGGAACCAAACAATCGAGATGACTTACTTCACGTTGTAGTCCTTCTTGGCATGTTCCACCACATACTTTAGTCCAGTGGATTCCTCGTTCTTTTTATCATTCTTCTGAAATTTTTCATTCTCTTTTATTCCAGTGAGTCTGCTTGCAAATCTGCAGACATAAAAGTTTACAACTCAAAACATTTATTACTTCAACTGACAAAATGCTAACTGTGAAGTTTGAATAGAACTGGAAACTTTTGTCCAGATATTTAGACTTCTGTTCTAAATTTGTCAACGTATAGGAGGGTAATTAGTTAATAATGCCATCTCCAATGCATAAATAGAAGAATAAGCATATAAAGTGATACTATAAAAAGCATAAAATACTTATTATCATTGGCTCCTGGTGTAGCATTCTTACAAATTGTACCATCAGTTTCATACAAGGATAATCAAACATGGGAGATTCATGATCACAGGTTCAACATGAAAGAAAGAGTGATAGAGATTCATACTGTGCTCCTTCTTGTACAACAACATTAGAATCTTCCTTAGGTTTGCTTTCAATCTGTTGCCAGCCATCATCTATGATCAAAAATCGTGCAGGAGTTCCTCCTTCTGATAAGCTGCAATTATTATAAAACACAAGTCATTCATTCAATCTTGTAAGTTATAATTGCTCATTGATGCCAAATTCTGTGAAAAAACTAGGAGTTAGTTCACTCTCCAACAGCATTTCTGAAGTACCTTTTAAGGCCTTCCTCAACACCCTCAGCTGTAACATCAGTGTAAAATGCATCCCACGTGCACCAGCCAAACCAATCAAGGAAAGAGGGCAACTACACAAGACCAACAAAATGAAACATTAGATTCACGCACTGTAAACATCACCATCTTTTATGGTAGAAAGTTGGTGAAAAAACGAGCAGAGAGTATAGAAATTCTTACCTTTTTCTTCTCACGATGAAGAAAAGTTTGCATATATTTTTCCACAGCCCTGTTTTCAAGTGAAATAACTCGTTAGTTCCCAATAACACTGAAGTTTATAAATATATCTTATTACACAGATCTCCTATGAATAAATATTTGCAGTTAATTTCTAACTGAAGAGGAGAACTCACTTTACAGCCTGATTGATTACTTCAAAGGGATTGGTCCCAGCATGCATGTAGACAAGGTGAAGGCCTTGGTTGGTTTCAACAGCATTATCCCCTGCAAAACCAAATCAGACCAAAAAAAACACAAATCGCTTCGGTTCTTTTGAACTCGAACCTCCTATCTATTTCTTCCCCAATTGATATGAACTCCATAAATTGGATCCATTTGAATGGGACAGTCATTGACTGCTTCTCCAGCATATTTGTGTTGGCATCAATGACAGCTCCACCCAATATTTCAGCAATTTAGTCTCCTTCACTAGACGCGATATGATGGAATGAATTAACAGTTGACTTGGCCCTATATAATGGGCTCATTAATGACAGCTCCACTCACAGTTGTACTGTTAGTCTCCATTACTAACAGCCAGCAAGATGAAACTGGAATTAACGAACATAATGGCTCGTGGGCAAGTTGGGTGCATATAGCCTACACCAAACCAAACCAAACATTCTATGATGGCTATGATCAACTCACCACTCTCAAGGCAGATCTCCATCTCATTATTTTCGTTGCCTTGCAGAACAGCACGGAATTGGCCTTCAAGGAGAGGAAGGAAGACAGTGTAAATGGTCTGAGCATCATCTTGATCAACTCCTTCACCACCATCCCTGCTCTCCACTAGCATGAATTGGGTCTCCAAAGGAATGTCTTTACCACACTTGCCCATCCTCTGGGTCATCCACCATAACTTGAATCGGAAACAACACATAAAACGGAGACCCCTGCCAAAGATGAGAAGTAACAATTCTCACTATTGTGAACATGTTCGCAAATATATCATCAAAATATTTTCTTTTAATCAATCCAAGCACCCAAAATTATGTTGTGCACTAAAAGATGCTACTAATTACTAAACAGAAAAACATATCGACGAGTAACAGTATAATCTCATACCAAGTTTCATATTATATTACAAAGCAATATTATATGCAGTGGTGAAACCAGAAAAAATAATTAGGGGAGAAAATTCTTTTTCAAAATTTAGGTGTCAAAATAAAAAATATTCACTATTTTATAGATAAAATGTAAGGAAAATTTTAGAAAAATATTAAAATTAGGGGGCCGGTGGCCACTGCCAGCCACCCCGCCGTTGATTATAAGAACCACGAAATCTATATTAAACAAATTATATTGTGAAACAAACACAACAACTAGCAGTTCAAGACGACAAGCTACTAGTATAGAACCTAATATTCCAAATTTTTACATGAAATTTTAATAAATAAATTCTTAATTTAATAAGGTAATATACCACATAAAAAATTAATCCATGGCTGCAGGGCAATAAATAATCAAAATGGTAAGTTGAAACTTACTCTAAGACCCCAACGGGAAAGACATGCAGACTTTTGCTATGGGAAGCACTGGCACCAATGAAAGCACCAGCGACGAGCCCAGCACCCGACCCAGGAGTTAAGACAATGTTATCTGGCACTCCAGTTAATATAGTCTTTCCATGAACAACAAGGCTGCCATCATTGATTGAAATCTTTGGCGTGATCGTCATTGTTGATGTTGAGCACCGAGTAACTGCCAGCCAGCAAATTACAAAGTTACAAAACCAAAATCAATAAAGCAAATGAAACTCGGTAAATAAAATTGAGAAACATAACAAAACAGACTACATTCAGTAAAGTTTCAGCTTAGGTGACCGGACTGGATTTTCAATAACAACAAATAGAAATTTTTTAACATCAACATTAACCTAAGTGTCTATGATTTCTTCTGCGGAAGCTAATCCGAGGAGGATTAGAATAATATCTGCGTAAGGAAATTTGAGAATTCGAGGAATTCGAGCGAGCATTGCGATAATCGCCAAGAGACTTCCACCACCAACGACTAACCCACTTCAATTGTTGTTGAGCTCCTGAAATCCTTAGCATTTTTTCGCTTACCTACCGGAAAAAAATGGAGAAATAAAGCAAACAAAAGAAAAAGTAAAAAATCATTTTTTTTGCCGCCCTCTTCGGCATACGTATCCAAAGACAAAAGAATTAAAACGAAAATATGCCTTCAATCTTCCAAAAACTAACAGTTGAAATCAAATTCCACAGTTAATATTAAAAAAATAAACCGATTGTTATGCCAAAAATCCAAACCAAATTGGATCTGAAAATTTTGGACAGTTTTGCTTAGTCGAGTACAGGTGCCGTAGTAACGGAAAATAGGCTTCTTTTGAGAGAAAAAAATTGGAAACTGATTTTGGAAAAAAAAAAAAAAAAAAAAAAAAAAAAAAATGCCAAAAATCCAAACCAAATTGGGATCTGACCATTTGGAACAGTTTTTGCTTAAAAAGTCGATAACCAGGTGCGTAGTTAACCGGGAAAATAGGCTCTTTTGAAGAAGAAAAAGATTGGAAACTGATTTTGGAAAAAAAAAAAAAAAAAAAAAAAAAAAAAAAAAAGCAGAGGGAACATTGAAGGGCGTTTATGCTGAAATTTGAAAACAAAAAAAAAAAAAAAAAAAAAAAAAAAAAAAAGAGAGGGAACATTGAAGGCGTTTATGCTAAATTTGAAAACTTGAGGCGGGCCAGGCGACTTTAGGAAATTTACGAAAAGGACTTGAGAAAAGCAGAAAATTATAGAAACGGAACAAGCTGCTCTACTTAGGCGGTTGGACCACGATCACGATCCGCTCGTGATTTTCCACTGTTAGCAGGACTGAAAAATGAAAATATCAATGAAACTGACAAATTATAGGGACTTCTGCCACGGAAAGGGTAAAAAAGAATTTCGAGTTACATCTTCAAAAAGTAAGAGAGAAAGAAAAGGCCGTGATTGAGAGAGGAAAAAAAGAAGAAAAGAAAAAGATAGATACAGCTATAAAAGCTTCAAAACGGCAGATTCAAACTGTGCGTGTAAATTAACCTTAATTTAAGTTAATTTTTCGCTATTAGTGACTAGTTTTAGTTATTTCCACCAAAATTAACCAGATCTACACAGAAATTCCAAAGATCTCGGCAACTTAAATTTCAGTTCTCTTTTAACCATGACCAAGTACAGCTTCATATTTTCCATCAACTACAGGATCTCACCATCGCCGCTAGTCCACCACAAGAAATACCACACCAAAATCCAACAGAACTTAATCTCCATCAAAACAGAGCTCAAAGAAAGAAGAAAGTTTCAAATATGCTACTAACAGTAAAGAATTCATCAAAATGTTTCTCCACCAAGAAACTCACCAGCAAAATCACTAGTTGAACAAGCTCGAGCTTAAGCTTGAAGAATAAGCTTAACGAGAATTTTCTCTGTAAATTTCAACTCAATAGGAGAAAATGTTCCTCCTACGAGAGAGACGAGGGAAAGTATAAGCAAAGCTCAAATATGTAAACAGGATGTGCAAACACGCAACAACAAATCGGTGAGGAAGGTCGCACAAGGCGGGTGGGCTTTTATAGCAAAGTTGGCGTTAAAAGTCGAACATGTTAACGAAACTGGATCTTTCCAGATCATTACACGTGGAAGGTCTTGTCGGCTACTTGTTTTTTATTTTTTATTTTACTAAATGATTGAATATTTATGTAATAAAAAAATATAAATATTTATTTAATGGATTGGAAATGCAAATTGCAAAAGGAGGAGATGAATAAAGACCAGTTAAGAGTTATCGCGTAAAATCCAGGAAGAAAAAGTGCAAATTGCATGTCAGTTGCTGCGGTACGTTTGCTGTTGTTATGACTTCACATGTTATATTTTGGTTTGCTCCAATCAGAAATAATCAATCATTTAGGGATAAACACTGGTATCTAAAATTCATCGGTGGATTCTGCCATCAAAAATTGAAGGCACGCAGTTCCATGTTGCAAGTTGAATTCCAAGTTTCTGACTTTTGAACTGAATCCTGCAGTGCAGCGTGCTAAAAACGACCGACGTTGTACAACAATAAACGTTTTCATTCTTTTTTATGTGTATACATATACAACAATAACTGTATCTGTATGTTAAATGCACCGAAACTTTTCATGATGCTGCAGTTCGGTGACTCGCTGCTCTAGACAGCTGCTGCAGGGTCAAGCCTCACATATTTATATTTTTATATACATATATAGTATTAATTTAATTCATAAATCAATTTATTTATCGTGATGTTATTCTTGAAATCAATACCAAGAAGATAGTTTCTAAATATAAATTAAGTAAGAAGCATATTTTTAGATCAATAATTTCGAATAAATATAAATTATACTGAAAATAATATACAATTGAAATTTCTGTGGTCGAGATAACTCGAACACGATACTTCGACTATATCTAAAATATTAATAAATTTTTAAAGTAATAATTTTTATAAATTTTAACTATTAATAAGTTTTTAATCAATTTAATTTATTAATTGGCTTTTTTTAAAAAAAAAATAATTATATAATAATGAATTTATCAATCATTAAAATTTAAAATTATATTAAAATAAATGTAATGATTATTAATATATTTGATTTATAAAAATAAATATAAAAATCTAATAGCTAATAAACTTGTTGCCAATGAGATTCGAGCTTCTGTAATCACTTGCTCTAACAAGTCAAGCCCTTGTAATAATGACTTGATAAAATTGCCTCCGAAAACAAGTATGCAAAAACACAAATAATTTATGTAATTCATTTTAAGTATATTTATAAACAAATATTCATTCTAAAATTAAGAAAATAATAGAAAAACTAATTAAATAACCTCTCACAAACACTTAATTAGAAGTCAAATACTTATTTAATCAATTTTTTCTATATATTATTAAATGTAGACTATTATTAATGTTGAGATTAAAAGATTTGTTATTGTGAAAATCCTTAGCTCTATAATTTATAGATATAAGAAGCTTATTTATTGACTGAACTAATAATTTTCGCAATTTTTTCTATTAAAAAGTAATTATTCAATCTGAAATGAAAAGAATTATCATTCGTGATATTCGATCATATCATTTTTGATAATTTGATTCTCGATATCCGATCAAGAAGAATTTTCATTATAAAATTTATGCTCAAAAATGACATTAATTGTTGGCATTATATCAAGAAATTAGGACTAAACATGCATAAAGTAGCATATATTCCATCTTACTTATAATGGATATATGCTGAAAATAAATTGCACTTAACAAGGTTTATAGTATGAACTAAAAACACATGTTAAAGATGCCCATATTATTTTGGGTAAAGTGGAATTGATTTCTATGAATGCCACCAACCTTTGTCTTAATCCCATTTTACCTACCAATATTCTCTCCACAAAAATTCATCATTTTTGCCTTCACTCTTCAAATAGCATAAAGTAAAAAAATAATAATAAATGTTATCTTAATGCCAAATAAAATTACAAATAACGTGTATAATTATCAATCAGATGTGGTTTGATAGGTCTTCTAATCTCTTAGAGAAAATATGAAGAGTGAAAGGTTTCATATTTAAGTCTTCTATATCTGTGTAGCGTACAATGTCCATAATATTATTTTGATTCATCGGACTTTTTATGTATAAAAAAAAAAAATTGACCCGAGGAAAATGCGATAGAGATTTGTTTTATAAAAAATGGAAATATATAAGTGAATGATTTGAGAGGCTTGTTATGGTCATAAAAATATATACAAATCGCAAGTAACAAAAATGTTGCATCCGGTGCTCATATGCGTGTCCCACTTAAAACCCAACACGTACGAGTTCCACGTCAGATCAACGTAAATATCGTTTCCGTGGTCGACTTTGCCATGTCAGCTGCGTATCTGCACAGAAAAGCCTATCAAACCTGGATATATGAGTAAAATAATAATCACGATAGAGATGGTTGGGCCTATTATGCGTCAGCTCTGACTGTAAAACAATATATATAAATCTGAGTTATGACGAGATTAATCAAATAAGTTCTGGTCTTTGTCATATGATATCTTATGCATGTTTTGTTTGTTTTTTATCATTGATTTTAGTTAATTAGAGTTGATTATAAATATAATTACCAAACTATTGGTAGGATATTTATTCAGTTATTTATTTTTCTTAATTTCTTCACTACGAAATTGCTTTGTAACGATGAAATGATTAACATCAATTCCATTGAATTTCATTTTTCTTAATTAATACTAGTTTCGCGTACATAATTTTAACACTTTTAACTTTTCATGTAAGTAAAAAAAAAAAACCTGAATCACCTTAATTCTGAACGAAAATAAGAGTAATTGAATAAATTATCATTTAATTCGGTTTTTGTAATTAAGAGAGATAAATAATTTATTAAATCTTACCCAAACATTGACCCAGTTAAAGAACCGGATGGATGAATTATTGGATTAATTAATGGATCAACGATTTAATTAATGGGTCATAAAAATATTAATAATATATATTAATTTAAAGTAATTATAATATAATGAAAATAATTAAAAAATATAAAAAAACCATTTCGAGTCTATGCTAGTCGACCAATTCAACCATGAGTTAGTTGGTTCAATTCGGTTCTTTTTCTTAAATGGTTCAAAGCAAAAAGGACCGATTTTGAAGCCAGTTCATCAATTTTTCTAGGTTGACTCATTAGGTGGAAATTAGTTTAATAACTATGGAAATAAAAGTCAATGAAATGAACGCGGTAATTAATTATTTGAATTATACTCCGATGTATTATTGGTTCATAGATTAATTTTTTATTACTACTTTGAAGCAATAATTCAAAATGATTTGGTAAGATATTATTTTTGGATCTTATATATTTTGTGCATGAAATAATGCAAGTGACAACCTTTACAAGTTGCACTAAAATGATGGTTTATGAGTCAATAATTGCTGGCATTTTCTAAAATTATTGCTGATTATCAAAATTATATCTGGCATCAAGTTTCTGTTTAATGTCCATGTTATTGATATGATCTGTAACCCAAAATAATTGGTATTGGAATTATAATTTTTTTAACTTCTTTTGACTACGATATGACACTACAAAATTTGGAGAATAAAAGTTACCAACCAAACCTAACAAGCAACCTCTTACTGAAAACGACATGAAAAATTAAATCAAATCGCAGCCTCCTGTCTACAAATCAAGCTGAATTCAATATAATCCAGTGGGATCTATGTTATGAAAAATTTTTCTTCTCTAGGAATGATTGTTCTAACGGTTGGTCGATAATTTGTATCGAGATAATTGTAGTTGTTATTAATATATTTATATCGCGATTAATGTAACTTTAAATTTAATAGCTTAAAAAGTCATTTTTATATAAAAATATTTTTATAATTCATAAACTGTTATTAAATTTCAATATAGCTTGTTAAAAATGTATTTGATTTCGAGCTCTACTCATTTGAAAAGAGTCAAGTTGGAATTCAAATAATCCGCGGCTCAATTCAAGTTTTCCGTTACTCTCATTAAAAAAAAAAAAAACCATTAATTTTCTACAACCTTCATGATGGTTGCCTAAATTTTATACATATATGATACATTTAATAATAAAAATTTAATTATTATGCATTTGAAAATATGATAATAAGCTTGGTAAATTCAATCACAAGGAATTTGTTCAACAGTATAACATTGTTAAGGAAAAAGAAAATTCCAGATAATTCAGAAAAAAAATCTGTAACATTGACAAGGAACCAGAAATTTCCTGAAAATTCAGGAAATATCATGAGTAACATTCTCAAAGATTAAAGAAATTAGTTTGAATTCAGAAAAAAAAAAGAAAAAGGGTCCACATAGATACAATTATGAGACAATCACATACAAAAACTACCCTTTTCAGTTTAAAAAGTCTTCTCTCTCATATAAATATACGGTGAACATAAATAATTAAATAAAAGTAATTGATTAATTTTTATTACAGATATAAAAATAAAAGCAGCACCACTTTATAAAATTGGTGACTATCTAAGTATCTTTGACTATGAAGAGGATAATCAATGATTTGGAGATTAATTAAAATATAATATAATACTTACCAAGCAATTATTAATTCAATAAAAATTTAATATTCCAGAACTATGTAATATCTTCCAATTGTTTAAATTATTTATTTTGGTTAGAAAATACTATAAATAACAGCAGCAGCACACGTCTCTGTCCAAAAATAAATAAATCAACATTTCTGGTACACACGAATGCTTTTGCTTACACAAAATTAAGTAAACATCAGACATTTAATTAACCATGGCCATCGTTATTGCTTCGAAAATAACTTGTCTTAGGTAATGTCAAAGGAAAACTAAGTCCTTTTTAATTTTCACAAATTATATTGTTTTTTTGTAAAATAGAGAGATTACAATATTATCAATTGTAGTGATTGGATTTTGTCCAGTTGTATAATCCCAGTCTGATTTTGACACGTATGCAAGGATTCTGCACCTGGCGGCACGTAGTATAAGCAAGATTTGTTCTGACATCAGCTGATAGAAATTAACCATTCGACATCTTGATCAATGATTTCCTACCACGTGTTGGGTCACAAGCAAATATTCTCCGGCATATGATGATTTGCTGCTCCACCTTTTTGTATTAACGAAAAATTATCAATATTTTTAGCATAATTAGCATACGAGCATCTAATTTTAGCATGTAGGATTATATTGTTCTCTTATGTCTAATAATAATAATAATATTATTATTATTATGAACATCTTGTTTTGTGGAGGAATGCCATTTCTTATAAATAACCTTTATATTTTATGTTTTTGCAAAATATAATGGAGAAAAGTATAATGATAATGGAGGGTTTCCCATTCTTCGAATTAGATGTGTGTATGTATGTATGTATGTATATGCATCATAGAGAAGACATCCCATTTTGAATTATTGGTTTGAAAATAACGCATCATCGTATGATTGAATTTTATAATGCCAATCCAAGCAAGTTCATTTCAATATTCATCAACATAGGTTTGTGATATATATGATGATTTGTCCTTAAGTATGAGTTGTACTTTGGAGGAAAACTACCAAATAAATTCAATCTTACAAGAAAAGGAGATGTACATCTATCTATATATAACGTAAAAACTACATGGGTCACCATCAAAATTATTATTTGTAATGGGTAAGGATTGACTCATGAATCTATATGCCAACATGTGGACGTGGTAAAATCCATGTGTATGATTGTTTCTTGTTGATTGGAGTCATAATGCAAAAAAAGGAAGGCATTGTTGTTTTAGATGACAAGGATATATATACGTGTGTATATATATACTAATGGGATATACAAGATCATTAATCAAGCGGTAGTTTGGTCGGTCTTTTCACGTATGTGAAAAGTAAAAGGTCTTGAATTTGAATTCTCTCAACTACATTTATTTTCACCAAATAGTGAGCCAATGATTGTATAGTCCACCGTGTTATTTCGGCCATTGGTCTCCCAATGAAAAAATTTTTAAAGGCCATACTCTTATTATTGCAATAAGAGAAAAAGAAAGATGCAGTTTTCTTTTGATTTTTTTTTTTATGAGGTAGGAGCATGGTATTGATTATTCAAATCAGAAATAAAGCATTTTGAGATTATTATAAGCAAAAGAAGACATTATATTATATATTAGATAAACAAACTCAAGAAAATGTTATATATACTACATAAAAATATATAAAAAGAAATTGTCATAGGCATGTTTTTAAAAAATTCCCATCAATTAGGCTTTCAAAAAACCAATTTAAACCTATCAATTCATGATTTGAAAAAAAAAAAATTTAATAATTACAATTTAGATTGTTGGCATGATATAGCTTAGCAGTGTAATGTCCACTTTTTAAATGCAGAAAATGAGATTTCAAATCCAACATATAAATATTTGAATATTTACAATCTCTTAAAGATCCAATTAAATGGGCCATAAGCCCTCCAAATGGAGTGGACAAAGACAAACCAATCCAACAAGTTAATGGGCCATCCTAATGGTATTTTTACAGGCATTAATAAATTAGTTAATTGTGCCGAAATGTAGAAATGAAATCATATTTTTCAATTAAGAAATTAATTTTTATACTTTAAAAAATAAACAAATGAAAAAAAAAAAGTCGATAGAACAGAATTGACAATTTAGGTCCTATGATGTTCATGTTTTGTTTTCAATTACCGTTATTTAAAAGTTAGGCAGTGAGCTTTAATGGGTGAAGAAAAGTATGGAAATGGGAGGCCCAACCTAAGTGTAGCTTATATCATTATTGTCAATATTGCAACTACCAAAGAGACAAAACACCGCCTTTGGAGTGTTAAGTATTCTCAATTTCAGGAATTTTTGTATCCAAGTAAATATCCAACCAATGTCACAATTTCATTGTAAACCTAATTCCATATGTTTTAGGGACCAATGTGTTATGTAAATTTAATTTCAAGCACTAAAGTGTATAGTAAATTTATAATTTCAAAAATCAATACTAAAATGTTACTTCCTCCGTTCCATTTTAATAACAACAAATAGATATTTTATTTTATTTAAGTGCAGTTTAGAATCTTAAGAGTGTTTTAATATTTTTTTTTTCAATTTTACCTATATTTATTAACTGCAATTTATTTTTATGTTTATATGTATTTTTTTATCATTACTGTAATTGTAATTAAATTAAATTTTTGATCTCACACATCACTAGAAGTTTTTTATTATATCAACACTTGAAAAATGAAATGGAAGGACTACTTTAATAGTAGTGCTTTAATACGAGATAAAATTAGTATTGATTTGGTAGTAAAATTAAATGAAGAATTTTTAACTTTAACAAGGGTAATTTAGACATTATGTTATGTATTTTTAGAAAATTAATGTATTTCAATCATGTTCTTAATTATTATGAAAAAATAAAATTTTACTGTTGAAGTGGAACTAGTAGCTTTTAGTAATGTGAGATATAAGAGGATTATGAGCGTTTAGAGGTTTTTTTTGTTTTTTAGCAATGGGGGAAAGAGATTCGAACTAAATCTATTGACAAGTTGTATATGTACTTACCACTAATTTATGTCTTAGTGTACAACATTTAGAGAATTAATTTTTAGAGGATTAGAGAGCCTTCTAAAACGTTATCCCCCTAATGTATAACATTTTATGCCTTCTTACTAAAATTTTTTACAACATTATCCTTAATTAATTTAAAATCTCTCTTTTCCTTATACTTAATTAATTTAATGCCTTCTTACTGGAATTTTTTACGACCTTATCCTTAATTAATTTAAAATCCCTCCTTTCCTTATCCTCGGTTAATTTAATCCCTTCATTATCATTTTGTCTTTTTGTTTTTTTATGTTTTTCCTTATCCTTGTCTTTTGTTTTTCATTATCATTAAAAGAAAAAAAATATATTATTTATATATTTGAATTTGAACTCAAGCAAATATTAAAAATTAAAAACATTGATTCTTTAAAATATTAAAATTTTTCAATTTTTGTTCCCTTAAATTTTGAAAATTCAATTTTAGTGAAATCATCATTTTTTTATAATCAATTTAAACCTATGACTAAGTGAAAATTTTAATGGATTTTTTTATCATTTTAAATATAATTACCGATCAAACAGTTGTTTTTACTGCTGCTTAAACAATTATCAACTAACATTACATTTTGGCAGCCGCTGCTTACACATTTAACAATATTAAAACACAATTAACGGCTAATATTGTCAAACAGGCCCTTAATCTCAATCAACGTACGAATAAAATTCACATTGTTCATGTAAGTTACACGTAACAATAGCCAGGTGATTACTTTGATGGAACAAATAACATTAAAATTATTTACAAGCACAAATAACAGCCCTCCCCTTCAAGTTTTACTACTCCACTTCCTTTTTTCCCCACCAATCTCTCACAACAAACACAATGAACATTACAAATTCAAGAAAAAAAAATATCAACCAGGGCTCAAATCCTAGTTACCAAAAAATTTTTAAGAGAATCTGAATGAAAGAAAAGAAAAAAAAAAATACTTGAGTGAGCTCTTAGCCTTTTGATAATTGTCATGATTCTCTCTTGTTGAGTCATCTGACCTCATTGTTCAACTGTAATGAACCATCCTTCATTAATTTGAGACTCAGATTACTGAACCGTTCTCGTGAATACTGCCTTGATGCTTTTCGCCAATCTGTACCGGCCTTCATCATTGTTGCAAATTCATCATAGCTTATTCTTCCATCCTGCAAGTTTCCAGAAAATGATTCAGGAGGACTCTAAATGGAGACAAATTTTACAGGCTACAAGAAAGAATGAGATTTCCAAGGCTAATAAAACACTAAATGAGTGTGCCATTTATGCAAGCAAGGGAAAAGTAGCAGAGTAATCTCTTCTATAGGGTATATAGTGCACCCTGCAAAAACATTCTTGAGGGATCACTTGAACTGTGGAAGATGGATCCCACGTGAATATGAGAGAGGGTGCATATACACCAAAATCACTGAATAATCTCTCAGCATTTTGTGCCATCACAATATCTCACATGGAAGTGGAACTGATGATAATTTTAAAACTGAAAGAGACAAAAAGAGAAGAAAATAGGACTAACCTTGTCTGTGTCCACATCATGAATAATTGCGTTAATGACGTCTTCGATGTTTTCAACAACTTCATCAGCCAAAGCATGTCTTAGCTCCTCAATTTCTATGTACCCACTTTGGTTCCTATCAAAGAATTCGAATGCTTTTCGGAGGTGTTCATCATTACCCATCTTTCTTAGGTGAACAGAAATGGTCACAAATTCTCCATAGTCCAAATGCCCATCTCGATCTAGATCACCCTGTAAAAACAAATAAAACAAATTTATTAGGACCACAACCAAAAATGGCACGTTAATAGCACATTGAAATATTTATTCACTGTTTTCAGAAATTGCAGTTTTCATGTTTCTGTTTGAGAATCTATTCAGCAATGAATATACAGGCAATGGGTTTTCAAGTTTCTCTAACTAAGATCAGCATCTTAACAAGGCTAAGAGATTTTAAGGGCAGTATTCAGCACTTACAGCTTCCATTAGAAATTGAAGATCAGTTTCCGTGATTTGATGACCTAGCTTCTGCAGCCCAATTCTTAGGTCATCAATGTTAATTTTCCCCTTATTACTAGTATCCATCACTTGGAAGCCCTCCTTTATGCCAGCAACTTCCTCTACGGACAAATGCTCAGCTATGACCTGTTAATTTCAAATCAAAAAGCATTAGCAATATAAGCGTAGCATGTAAGATAGAACTCCAACTAACCTCAGACGCCAAATCAAGAGTCCAAAACAGAGAGTTTGTCAAGTCAAAAACAAGGATTAAAGATGTTACCCTCAGAGCTCTTTTCTTGAGTTTGTTCATTAGAGAGAATTGCTTGAGCCTTGCTTTCACTGTTTCACCTAAAGATACATTAGGAGCCTTCTTTGCATTTTGCAACCAGGGATGATCTACATTAAAAGAGAACAAGCATCTATTAATTAAGCATACAATAAAAGCTCCATGAACATGAAACAACAATTTCATCAGAACCCAACATTACCTAGAACTTGCTGTGCTGTAAGCCGACGATTTGGGTCAGGATCAAGCATCTTTTTCACGAGATCTTTTGCATTATCTGAAACCTTGGGCCAAGGATCCCTTTTAAAATCTATAACAGACCTAATGATTGCTTGTGCAACTCCCTGTTCAGTTTCTGCATAGAAAGGGGGAGAAAATTATGAAATCAAGTACCAGAACAGATAAATAAATTTAAGGAAATGAGGGAAGAAATGACATATAGAAGCATTATTTTGGATATAAACACAACATGAGAAAAATTATATGATTAGAAACATTATTGCTTTGATGTTGTTTAATTATCAACATGAAGATAGTTTCTCCCGTTTGACTAAATTCATAATTTAATATTCATGTATAAGCATTTTTGCTCATGCACATAATGCAAAGAATATCATGTGTTTCGATGATTTTATTTTACCCTAACCAAAAACACAAACTACAAACCTGCCCAAAAGGGTGGAACACCACAAAGTAAGATGTAAAGTATGACTCCAGCACTCCAAACATCTACTTCTGGGCCGTAATTCCTCTTTAGCACCTCAGGAGCCATATAGTATGGACTTCCAACAATCTCATTAAATCTTTCACCTGCAGGAAGCAACCAAACTTCAGCAGATGTAAATGGAAAAGAAAGAAGCCATTAATGGTGACTAAAAAGCATAATTACAAAATACAATAGATAACATTGAGGCATTACCAGGTTTGAAAAACACCGACAGTCCAAAATCAATTGCCTTCAAAGCAGCAGTTTCCTTCTTGTTTGCAAACAAAAAGTTCTCAGGTTTTAGATCCCGATGCATCACCCCCTGCTTGTGGCACATCTGCAAGAAAACAGAGCTAGTTAAACTCATTGCAAACCAAATCAAATTTTTTCAGTTGGAATTGTCTATAAGTTTAGTATTAGCAGGCTAAATACCGAAGGAATTGACCCCAATTAACTCCTGCCTCCAGCATAGAACAGAATATATTATCAAGAAACTAACTTCTTACAGAAAATTAGACCATTTTCTGGAATTTTAGTCAAGTACATCTTGCTACCAAAAGGCTCTCATGAACTATCAATAGTTAAAAAAAATAAAATAAAAAAAGAAAACAAGAGGAAATAGGCCAAACCAGATGTGTTTCTGTTTATACATAGGAGAAGTTGGGGTTACATAAAAGAAGCACAACCAGCAAAGGGAATCTATACAGTAAGAAAATTTTCTCCATTCAGAGTCACCATCTGCCTCGGCCATTTATATTTCTCAAAACTAATCATCTCCACAAAGTTCATAAGTCAATAAGAATACTAATACTATTTATTAATCACTTCAAAGAATTCATATTTTGATCAATTGAATTTATGGATGGGTCCTGAATCCCTATATTCATGAAGATCAAATATCAAATTCTCTCTCTTTCTCTTATTTGACCGATACACACATAAGTTAAATATTATTTGATAAAAGAAATAAAAGACCCAATCAAAAACATATAAAAATTCTTACCTGAACAACCTCTACAATGGTCTTTGTAACAGCAGCAGCAGCTCTTTCTGTGTAATGACCTCGAGCAACAATCCTATCAAACAACTCTCCACCCTCACACAACTCCATAACCAAATGCACTGCGTTATCATCCTCATAAGTATCCTTCAAACTCACAATATTAGGATGCTTAGGCAAATGCCTCATGATCTGCACTTCTCTCCTTACATCCTCTATATCCACTGCCGTCCTTAGCTTCTTCTTTGAGATGGATTTACAAGCGTACTTCTCAGCAGTCTCCTTGTCCGTACATAAATATGTAATCCCAAATTCACCTCTACCTAGCTCTCCGCCTAGCTCATATCTCTGCTCGATTTCTCGTCCTGTTGGCTCTTTTAACACCGTAAGCTTGTGGTGGACTCCATTGTTTTGGCCATAATCGATGGCAAATGGGTTTTGCTTCTTCTTGTGCTTCTTATTGTCAGGGGAAGGAACTGCTGATGGAGTTACACAACAATTACCCATGAATCAGAAAACAAAAAGGTAAAAGGGATAACAAAAAAAAAATTGAACTTTTGGGCTGTTGTTGTAACGGGTATTCGGATTTGAAGAGAAAAATGGATTCAGATCGATCAAAATTTGATCTTTTTAGTCAAAACCTGAGATTTTGGACAAAATAAGAAAAGGGTGTCTACCGTTGAGATTAAAGATCCAAGATCCAGCTATGAATCATAAGATATCAGTACGAACATAAAATTCTCGGGGGAAAGTTTTTGATTTCCCAGAAAAATTAGATCAAAGAGTAGAAATTTGAAGGATGAAGATGTGGGAAATAAAGGAAGAGAGGTTGAGTGATGAGGTTCTAAGAGAAGACAAGGAAGGAGAGCATTATAACGAAGAACAAGAATTCAAAAGAAAGATAGATTGGGCTGGATTGGTTCAACAAGAGAAGGAAGGGAGAGAGAGAAAGGTCAAAGCTCTTTCCCAGAGACTTCCCTCCTAACCTCTTTCCTTTCTCTCTCCTGACAATTTGCCCTTCCTCTCTCTTGACAATTTGCTGTTTGGTTTTTGTTTTTTTTTTTTTGGTTTTTTTGTTTTGATTTTATTTTTGTTTTGCTCTTCCCCCTTTCTTGGAAGAAAGAAAGGGGGAGGATTGATAATCCGTTGCTTTCCCAAAATATCCAAACAAAATACAAGTTTTCTTCTTCTTATTTCTTTTTTTTTTTTTTTTTTTTTTAATCCGTTGCCTTTTTCCCAAAATATCCAAACAAAATACAAGAATTCTTCTTCTTAGTTCTTTTTTTTTTTTTTTTTGGGTTTATTAGTTAAATTGAATTCTACAAAAAATTACTCTTGACTTTAATTGGGATTTAATCTTTCCAATTCTCTTCTTGCTTTAATAACTAAAAGTTCTGTCTAAATATAGCCAAATTCAATAATAATTCAGGTCAATGTGGAAAAAAAACTGTTTGAAACTTTGGTATGTATTGAACTGAAATAATTTTTTTTTTTTTTTTTTTTTTTTTTTTTTTTGGTTATTAGGTTAAAATTGAATTCTACAAAAATTACTCTTGACTTAATTGGATTTAATCTTTCAATTCTCTTCTTGCTTTATAACTAAAAGTTCTGTCTAAATATAGCCAAATTCAATAATAATTCAGTCAATGTGGAAAAAACTGTGAATACTTGTATGTATGAACTGAAATAATTTATTTTATTTCTAAAAATATCACAAGAATTTTTAGAAACAAAACAAAACAAAATTTAAATATTTGTAAGGTAAATAAAATGTGTGTATAATTGTTTTATACAACTAAAAAATACATGAAAATTGTTTGAATAGGTTAAAATATAGATTTCCCCCTTTCTTGAACAGTATAAATAATTTATTATATTACCTAATTTCGCAAGAGAATCCAATTGAAAGGGGAAATTTAGGGTTGTAATAGTTCATATTAAAATTGGATTAAATTGAAATCGCAAGTATCAATTTTGAATTGAATCAGATTAAAAAATTATTCTTTCCCTCAAGTTTTTATAATTAGAATTAATTTATAATTACCAGTTAAATAAACTATTCAGATTCACTTCTATTTGATTTTTTTTTTAGAAAAAAAGGATATATGGTCAAAATAAAAAAAATAATCAAGTTACAATCACAATTGAAATTAATGAATGTTTTACTAAAATTAATTTACAATCATTTAAACATTTAAAGACTAATTTATATCTTGACAGCGCATTCAGAAGGTTAAATGCACGAACAATACACATAAATATACAATTGAAATTATTTTAATTCAAGCAAATATGAATTAAATATTAATTTGCTGGCTTGCAATTTGCAAATTATAGATGAGAGTAAATTAATACAAGTAAAAAACAAAAAAAAAAAGAATAATAATAATGGCAACATGTCACAAACATAAGATTTGCAATTTATTGTATTTTGACTAGAAAAAACAATAGGTTATTTCTATATTTATTTATAATCCTAACTTTCTATCATGAATCATCATCCTCACATAGCCATCATTAATTTCACCCAAGTCAACAATAACATCATCTACATTACGCACATCATTTGGTAGGGTTGAGCACTTGGAAGAATGCCCAAACCAAAACTTTTTATTTTTTTAGTTTAATTTTCTAAAATTTCATTTTGGTTTGATTTTAGGTTTTTATAGATTTTATTTTTTTATTCATTGGAGTTCAAAAATGAACAGAATTACAGTACAGTTAACACTCCATTTTATAATATCACCAAATTAGTGCAACTTCTAAAGTAAAAATATTAATTGTCAATAATATATTCTAGTATTTATAAATAATTTGAATCATTTGCATTCTTTTATAAGATACTAGTAATAATCTTACTTGTCAACAATATATTTAGTTATGTATTTTAACATTTAATGTAAATAATAAAATAAATAAATAAATAAAGAAAATAAGAAGCGAAAAATAAATGATTTTTTATTTGAAAAAAGAGGAAATAAAAAAAACTTTACTTTTCTTGTTTTTCTAATTTGGAGAAAATAATTAAATAAACGAATAATGAAAGAAAAAACTAATTCTCTCCTCGTAACTAAACAATTTTCCTTCCTCATTTTCTTCCCATACCAAGGGTAGTTATGTAAATTAAAACGCGTTATGCCTTGCTTTTTAAAGGTCAACGTCCTCAGCGACACGGTGGTGCTTTACTGCTTTTACCTTAAGTAAGTTTGGACGCGTTCTTCTAGAAGGCAGCCATTCCCGTCATATTTCCCAAACTATCCCCAATGCCAAAGCTCACCTATTGGAAAATGTTTTGGGAAAATTACAAATTTATTGTTGGAACTTTTTCAAAATTTTTTATTTTACCGTCTGAGCAGAAAAATTAAGTATTTACACTGCTTAAATTTTTTCAATCACATGTCTGTGATCTATATAAATGAATGTCTAATATTCAATTTTCATCTTTAAAAATTGAAAAGAAAATAAAAATGAAAAAATTTACCACACAAAATCAACTCAAAAACTTTAATTTATGGACATTAATATTAAAGTGTCCATCATTTTAATTTAAATTATGTATTTTATGTATAAAAATTTTAAAAAATTATTAAAATGATAAATTAAAATATTTATTTAAAAATTTGCATTAAATTAGTGGAATTTGAACAATTTTATATTTAAATAAATATTAGCACATATCATTTAATACTTAAATCTTTAACTCTTACATAAATTTTTAACTTAATACTCATTTTTATCAAATAACATATAAGAGAGAATTTATTGCTTTATATATTGAAATTAAAAGAAATATTATTGATAAAGTATTACGTAAGCACTAAGTAATATTAGATAAAATCTCAATATCACTTAATAAAAATTCTTATATGCTAAAATGAAAATTTTAGCATAATAGAACTAAGACAAGCGGAAAAAATGAATAAAGAGAGAATTTTGTTATGTTTTAAAAATAAAAGAAAAGTGTGGGGTCAAATTAAAAATTACAAAAAGGAAAGATCAGAACAAAAATCTATCCATAGGTTAAAAAAAGAAAAATAAAATTTGAGTGGGCAAGGTTCCAAGTGGATTTTAGAATTTATGTAATTTATAAAAATCTTTTTATTTATTAAATACTTTCAATAAATAATAAATTTATTATATTGAATTAAAAATTCATAATCCGTAGGAAAACATTAAATGACACGATTGCCCTTCCCCAATCATTTCAGTAGGTGTTACTGCCTTACTGGTCCCAAAGAAACAAAAGTCGGTATCTGTCGCAATTCACATTAAAGGATAGAAAAGGGTATTTTCGTCAAATTGAAATTGAAATTGAAAAGGGTATTTGAAGGCACTCTTAACTTAAGCCTAACTTTTTTTTGTTTATTTATTTTTAAAGCTTCTGGGCCAGGTCAAACTTGACGGTTTTGACTTGTAAACGTTAACGTTTTGAACATGTATATACCGTGTGCCATTGCTCATAAAAATATATCTCCAGTTCAGTGCACGTATTTTTTTTGTTAAATTAAATAATTTATATTACAATTTACAAAATAAAGAAAGTAATTAAATATTTAATATTTTTTTCTCGGAAGAAAAATATTGAAGATTAAGTTTACAACGCAATTGCAATCTTCATAAAACAAAGTTACTAATTTAGAACTAAAAATATTCTTTTATTAATTATAATTTTCGGTAACATAATCTATATAGTAATTTTTAAAGGTCAAAGGAATATTTAATGAAATATTATTTTACTCAATTTTTAGTGTTTGAAATAATTAATGGATATTTTTTCGAAATTTATATTTTTTACTTTTTGTTTTACACATTAATAAGTCTTACCTGTAGTATTAGTTAACAAGTAACAAGTTATTTATTAAATATTTAAATTAACTTATAAATTAAAAAATATATTTTAAATAAAAACTTAAATGCAAGAAATCAAACCACATACCACCAAGGAAGAGCTTTTTGCTTAAAATAGAAGCAATGGTTTTTCAAAGGCAAGAACTATCTAATTATGGAACATGGATGCTGTTTATAAAGAGAGTTTTTGGACGAATTATGGAATTTTTACAATAGATTTAAATAGAATAAAAAATGTAATTTTTTATTTTTTATTTTTTTTAAATAGAATAAAAAAAATGGTATTACTTTTTAATACCAATGGAAACAAAAAGGATTTGAAGGTGTGGAATATAAAAGATAAAAGCACCATTGTTGTTGGGGTAGGAAGGAACAATTATTGATTTGGTATAAATAAGGAGGAAGAGAATAAAGCTATTCAACTTGGTCAAAGATAGTAAGTTAATATTCATTAATTTGGTTATTTAATTTAGTATTTAAATATTAATATTATTCTCAGCTTTTACATGTGAAAGTTATGAATATATAAAAATCAATGCACCTAAAGAAACTTCTCTTAAAATAACCAATTAATTTTTCTTTTTTTTTTTTAATTTTAAAATTATTTATTTATTAATTCCTAATTACAACCAAGAGTAAGCCTTTAAATAACAATAATTAATAATAATAAATTAAAGTAAGCATATTCTATAACAAGTAGCACCATTCAAATCCTGCAAAACGACACTTGGACTAGAAAAGAATGCTTGTTTTTCTTATTACTTAAATTTTTATTTCATGACAGGAGTAAAAATATAATAATGGTTCTTAAAGAATTAGTTTATTATTTATGTTGAATGGTTAATTGGTTTGATGGATTTGCATATTCCTTATTCTTTTTTTATATATAGGAAACTTATCCTTGAGATTTCTCTAGTTAAGTCTTCTTTTTCAGACCATGACCTATTCTTGACCTTACTCCCATTGATTTGCTAATCCAATTGCAAGAACTTTAAATTAAAATGATATTATTTTATTTTATTATGGGTATTATATCATGGAAAAATATTTATTTTATTTGAGCTAATAGTAGTTCAGTTCAAATTTTATATATATAAAAAGATGGATACAAAGACTCAAACTTTTTTGGTACATGTTTTAACTATTATTTTAATATCATTTTTATTAATAATATATTATAAAAAATTTAATTAATAATAGATGTCATATATTATATAATTTTAGTTATAATCAGATGTATAACCAAAATATGTAGCTCGATTATATTAATATTCAATTGATTTATTTCGGCTTGATTATTATTTTTTATTTTAGGGAAGTAAAAAAAAAAAAATTGTAAATACTCATTTTTATTCAAAAGATAGAATCACAATTTCAAAATAAAAAGAATAAGGTCAAATGCTGATCATCTTCTCTTTTTGTGGAGTTCCTCATTTTACATGCAGTCCATAGAAAATGAATCTCTTCTTGTTGGCAAGGTTGGAATTAGGTCAATAATGGAATGTAATAATATGAAGAATCTTTTCATAGTTGGCAAATGAGATTAGGGTTCTCAACTGAACCTTCTATAACATGAAATATAAATCCAAATTCTATTCTATACCCTTCTAAAGTCCACTTGTCTTAACTGTTATGCGGTTAAAAGATACCTACCTCGCTTACTATGTTTTGTTTTGTTTGTGTAATAATATATATATTGTCTAGAGGAAAATGACATGCAAGAAAAAGTCAATGGTTAGGAGATAGGGGAGGAGGGTAGTGGATTAGTCATTAATGACAGCCATTGACTCAATCAAAGGAACACCTTGCAAAAAATAAAAAATGATGGACTTTATAAGTAACTATGCATCGACACATTTGTCAAAGTGTTAGGACTTAGGAGCCATCTTGGAGCATTCTAATATTGTATATCACTCGTAAGAATTCTGCTTCACCCAATAATTTCATTATATTAAACAAAAAATATCTTCATCTGTCCGGTCTCAGAGAAAGATTGCTTCTTTCTGTATTACAGTTCCTGAGAACCTTCACTTGCTTATTTCCTAGCAATACAAATAACTAATGACGTCTCCACGGATGATGGTTCAACGGAATATCATCTCCATGGAAGCAAAACTTGATATGCCTTGGTATTCCTAAATTCATTCTACATAAATCATTAATGTAAATATGGCAGGGAGCTTCAAAATGGTTTTGGTGCAAGAGAGAGGGAAAGGGAGCGATGAAAGAGAAAAGGGAATGAGATGGTGTGGCTAATGAGGTATGAATTTAAATGCAAGTATAAGGCTTTGTATTCAGAGCAGTCAGCAAGGATGTTCGATCTGCCGGCTTTCGATGTAAAGTCTAAATCGTTCATCTTGTCTTTTTTGCCAGCTTTGGATTTTTGCACATTCGGATGCTCAAGGGAGTAACCTCCACGAGTTCATCTTCTTGAATATACTCGATGCAGTCATCCAGACTATAATCCAAGGGGGTATCAAGAACCACTGCATAGAGAAATAAAATAGGGACCATTACATACAAGAATAGAAACCTCAATAACGGATACTAGCAAATGTACACACAACTTGGATAATAAAAAATGCCATGAACGAGGTATATGCGTCATAGATATATGAATTATAAGTTCAATGATTATTGCATTCCCAGGTATAGATGTCCAGCAGTACAGCAAAAATAGACCTCCATACCGGAAAAGGATTATTTCTCTAGTATAGAATTGCAGCTTTGCTTGATGACCGAAAATAAAGAAAATTCAGCTTCTAGAGAAATATATTCAGCTTTTTATTGTACTAATAAAGGATTTGCAAAACCACACCTCTTAGTTACTTAATAGTAATAACAATCATTTAGTAATGATTAACATTTTCCAAAAAACTATGCAGGCAATTGAATTCTTTTTTTATGAATAGAGAAATTAAGGTAACAGTGAGAGTAGCTTTTCACCTGTTTGTTCTTTATTTGAACGAACATTTGTAGCAGCCTTTTTCTTACACACATTCAGTGATAAGTCCCCTGGTCGTTGATGGATACCAACAATTTGACCTTTATAAACATCCACTCCAGGACCAATGAACATCTGCCCCCTCTCCTGGGAACTAGCAAGGGCATAAGAAGTAGATGTTCCTTCCTCAAAGGCAACCTGAAAATCACTCTCTTTGTTATACAATTTTCAGATTGACCGAAGCAAGAGTTATTTACCTTTTCAAAAGTTTGAAATCTCAACAAGATGTAATTACTGTTTCAATAGCATATATATTTGGAATGCATTTATGTGGTGCTGTAGACAAAAGAGAGTCTTAAATAGATCTCTCGAATGGTTGTACACATGGATTTTTTTTTTCCCCCCATTATCAAATTAAACAAATGCAGAACAGAGAGGTACAAACATCACAAGATACAGACAGAAACATGTCACTTATATTTGTTAGTTCTCAGTGTACATATTGGTGAGTTATTGAATGTTACTTTCATTTTTATTTGATTTTCTTATAAAGTTTACAAAGTGGGGATCAAAATAATTGAAAGATAAGTTCAAAAGTTTCTAGAAAGCCATTTGAAAGTATCTTTTTTCCCCCTTTACTGTTGAATAGAACACCAAAAGAATCATACTTCTAAAAATTAAGGAACAAAGACAATTTTGAAATTGCTTTGATGTTTAAAAGTTCTTATCAGACAGACTATGCAATTTCATCAAGCATAATATGGTTCATGTGTAAAGGACATGACATCATAAAAAACCAGCTTGATAACAAGCAGAAAAATTAGTGATTACCAATGAACCCTGATCTCGGGTAGATATGTCTCCAGCCCAAGGACCATAGTCATCAAATATCGTGTTAAGAATTGCGGTGCCACGAGAAGCCGTCAAAATTGCATTCCTTAGTCCAAGAAGGCCACGGGTAGGGATCTTATACCTTAGCAGTGTTGTTCCCTCTGACCTAAAGCACATAAAAAGTCCATAAATAGCATCATTGACACAACAAGATGCAGCTTAACTAAAACTGATGCTAATAAAAGTACAGTGATGTGAGCAAAATGGCAACTCAGTAGTGGAAGTATGGAACTATGGAGCACCATTTCTATAGAAGTGGTAAAATGTGAGAATCATCAAAGTATACAGACTCAATTTAATTTATTTGTAAAATTCAGATTCCATCAAACGTGTTAACTTCTCAAGTGAGAAGATATTTGCAATGGTTGCTGTCTTTATAAGCGACTAAAAGGATCTTTTTTTTTTTTCGGTGGAAGATTAAGAAGACAATATTATGAATCATAATCAGCATCCGATAAAAACTATAACTAATAGATCTTGGGATCAGAATATGCATAAACACAGATATCAGTGGTACAGGCTTTCTTCTTTAAAAAGTCATCATGAGCAGTTTCTTTTAGAACATGATTCATCCAAATGTTTGCTAACGTAAGAATCTATACTTCTTACATGATTGGCCTTTGCACATCAAATGGTCCAATGTTTGTATCACAGCACCTAAATATCATGCACTCTTCTCTTTTCTGTTTTTGTTTGTCACTAAATTCCATTATTTCTTGAATCCTCTACTTAAAGTTGTTAATTAAACATGAACTTAATTAAAGAACACATAACATTCTACGTACCCAACACCTTGCGTATCAAACATCAGTCCACGCCTTTTGCCAAGAAGTTCAACCACAGGCCCCATATATTGTTCTGGTACCTCCACAGTGGCAATCTGCAAGCACTTCCCATGTTAGCTAGTGATAAATACAGGGCAAATGGAAAAACATAGCATTTTGCCAGAAACATATGTTATAGTGTTCTCTTCCAAGATAAGCATTTGGTTATTGTTACTTTCTTAAGCATTTATGCTGTAATTATCATCTAGTACCAAAATATCAATGCAAAGCTTTTAACAAATGCTGCACTAAGTTGCCACTATGGCATCTCACAAAAAAAAAAAAAAAAAAAAAATGCCAACTATGGCATCCTCCAAAATAAAAAAAAAAAAAAAAAAAAAATAGTGGCTATTGTGTAATTTAAATGTAATCAACCTTGGTCCATTTTTTTGTCGTGGTGTCGATAATTTTAACGTAAAAATCGGCCAGTTTACAACAAATGCACTGCAGTGGCACCACAACTGGTTTTAAAAGAACTAAGATGAAATCATGGGAAATGCAAGTTAGTGCAATAGGTATATCTATGAATTATATGTTGATGAAGTTTACATGTTGTAAACACGAATTGGCCACTATTACATCATAATACCACCAATAACTCACATATATGGTAAATGCCATATATCTCATAAAAAAAAAAAAAAAAAAAAAAAATAGTGGCTATTGTGTAATTTAATGTAGATCACCTTGTCCATTTTTTTGTCGTGCAATTTTACTTATCCATTTACACATGCACCAGTTGGACAAACTGGTTTTAAAGGAACTAAGAGGAAATCAGGGAAATTCAGCTATGCAATGGTATATATATAATGTGATAATGTTGTATGCCATTACCATATACCAATACACATATATGTATGCATATATCTCCTGCATGTATGCATGTATATGGCTGTATAAAGTATTGTATTAATGAATAAAACAATTAGAGGATAAAGTTCTCTCATCCAGTGGGTGTATATCAAAAGCAAAACCAAAAAGTTGATTGGATGCATTATTTTGTGAAATGTAAGCATCTTTCCATAGGCTTAGCTAAACCAGTTTAACTGTTCCTAAATTTACATGCATGTGAGGAAACGGCAAATAAGCCACAAGAAAGAGAACAAAAAAGAGAGACAGAGACATGTTAATAACAGGAATCTTAAAGCACATCCATACCAAAGTCAATCATGCATTTAGTTACATATCCTATGCCCATGTTTTCCCCTCAAAAAAGGAATGAAAATCCAATTAGGGAAACCACCTCAAATGGTTCCAACACTTTGCCGTCCACTGTTTTGTTAATGACCTTGGGAGGTCCCACCATGAATTCATATCCTTCTCTTCTCCTGACAAACAAGAAACATAATATACATAAGCAAAATGAAGAAATGGAACAGCAGCAAATAGCTTTCACTTACATGTTCTCAATCAATATGGTGATATGTAAAGTGCCACGCCCACTAACAGCAAATGTATCTGCAGTTTCACCATCTTCAACTTTCATAGCCAAATTTCTTTCTATCTCACGGTAGAGTCGATCTCGTAAATTCCTGCTAGTCACATATTTTCCCTGAAATGGAGCGAAGAAACATCAAAGTTTAAATGGACGGAAACATGAAAGTGGTCATGCTAACAAATGCAAATACTATGTGCACATTATTAAGCATGATTATTTGATGAATTAAAATTTTCACAATGGATGGAGAAAAATATTTAAAAAAAAAAAGAGTTTATGATGCCAACAAAAGTACTAATGAATCCCGTCATCATAATATTTTTAGCAACCTATGCAAGGACATAATAAAATACCAGACAAAGAGCAAACCAACACTCTCAACTAACTTACAAACTTGTCTATATAGGCATGGGTTTTGTGGGAGAATAGAAAGAAACTAAAAACGCCAAATAATATACTTAATGATTTCACTATTTTAGGTTATTGCCTAATGGTCATACCTCCCGGCCAACAAATGGTGAAGTGTTTATAGAGAAAGCCATTTTCACAGTTGGTTCTTCGACTTTGATAGAAGGTAATGGCTTCCCAGATACTTTATCAGCAATTGTCTCCCCAATCTGATTAATGAAAATTAAATCAATCAGAAAGTGATACTGAAAAAAGCAAAGCAAATTTCATTAAACATATCATATTAAGGTTATATGGTAAATGAGGCAGCCTCATGATAGGAACAATAGTTGATCCATGCAAAAGAGAGGAAAGCCTATTTGTCTCTTTTGTTAGCAACCTACTCGTTATGATATGTTCCTTTTGTCCAATTTCAGAACATAAATTATTTCACTTCCAACATCGCGGTTTCTTACTTTGTGAGACAAATTGCACTGACCATGAAATAGTAGTTTTCAAATTATATACTTGACACAAAACAATAAATGGTATTCCCTTGTTGAATCAACAAAAATGAATGGAAAGAGTAAAGCTTACTTGAATGTCATCAATTCCACAAACTGCACAGATGTCACCAGCTTCCACACTTTCTGCTGGAACCCTAATAAACTTCTCATACACAAAAAGCTCACTAACTCTTGCATATCTGCAGAAATCTTCTGATGTACATACCTGGGAAGTTGAAACCATGATTTGGAAAAAAGAATTAACTTGTAGATGCCAAAACATTCTCCAACTTGAAATAATCACAACCGAAAAGGAAGGGGGGAAGGAAGTTTATGTTTATTTTTGGAAATTATTAAAATGTACAGCTGGAGGTTATCACCTGTTGGTAATCATTGATTTTGATCTAAAAATTGGACTTATCCCCTGGTAAATCCTCAATCACTTTACATATGCTTCATGTTATATCATAAAACAGGATAGTCCATTTGTCTTACATACTAGCTCAAATTCAGAACACTTCCATATGCCTAATGAGTATGTAATAATAACAGAATGTCACCACTTCACACTACTCTTAATATAACACAAAGGCCCATCAAGTGCATTCATGACCACAGGCGCACATTGATATCATTTATATTGCATGCATGGGGAAAAAAAAAATTTCTTGTACATCTATTCTTCGTTTATGAGATTTAGCAATGACTATATTCAAGGATAAATTTGATTCTATTTTTCAAAAAGAAATTAGAAATATATTTCTTTTAAGGAAAATAAAAGGTTCAAACTGGATATCTCAACCTCCTTCGTCAGTACAGAAATCCAACAACAACGAATACATTCTCCTATATTTTCAATTACTACAAAGTTATCTACAGAGTATCTGCTGCAAGTCGGCAACTAATAATTTATAGCACTCTGTGCAGTGCCATCAGCAACAATGCCTACAGCTGCAGTTCAGAAACACATGGATATCATATTACAGATGCCATGGTCTTTAAGATGCATAACACTACCATATTTTTTTTTCAGGATTTTCAAGCTAAATGGGACTTACATATAGATTGTGCATTAATATCAGCAAGTTGATTTATCCAAAAATTAAAGAAATCAGGCACCAAAAATGATTAGGTAAGAAATGCACATATCACCAATGATGGCAAAAGAACCAACATAGTTCAGATAACCAAACTCATGACAAAGCAACCAACAGAGAAAAGTAGACAAAAGAAATTCAGAATAGAAGATAACCCACCCGCACATCCATTCCTTTCCGCAGAACTCCTGCATGCAGGCGCCCAATAGCTATTCGTCCTTTATGTTCATCATATTCAATATTTGTTGCCTAAAATATGTCAATGACAGTTAATACAGATATCGAGGTTATAATATTTTCATAAAGGAACACAAGATTAAAACAAAAGATAAAATAATAGTTGAAAGAAAATATGGGCCAAATATAAGAATTTAAACATGACCAATTGACCTAGGCACAAAAAACTAAAATCACCTTTAGAATTCTAAATCTTGGCATCTGCTTCACCTAATTGGCGAGGAGTTTTAACCATAGGTAAAATGTTTTGTGTGAATGCAAACACGTGATAATTAGTAAGGCAATCTTTACATTCAATCTACAAGGAGTAAGTTTAGCTAAGCACAAGTCCGAAGGATGAAAAAGGAAATTCACCTTTACAGCAGATCACAGATGCATTCGACGGAATACTAAATGGTGCTGTGGGATACCTAACCATAATTTACTATCTCCCAGTTATGGAAGTTCCATCATTGTGGTCATTCTTTTTTTTTTTTTTGTGTTCTATGGTCCTACACCCTATAGTTTTAATTGAAGATAACTCATGAAGGATTGATTCATATGAAACCACATGGAAGTTGGTGATCGTTGAGATCAATATCCATGTATTAGTTATCACTTCTGATCCTATTAATAAAGATGATGCTACTCCTTAAGCTTTGGGTCGTGGCTTCAAATACTAAGCCCCATACCACGCTCCAAGAATATGAAAACTTGTGCCAGTGTAAGTCACAGTGAACATATTGAGTTGAAGAAAGCCAAATTCATGGACAAACAATATAAAAGCAAAGAGTAAAAAAAGATTAAACAGTTATATAATGGACAACCACTAACAAGCATTTGTAGTGCACCATCTTTGTCAATGCGTGGTCCAGGTATGCATCTGATTACAGACTCGAAAAGCGGCCCAAGATCTTCAGCCAAATCATCAGGAGATAATCCAGCCTTTCCTTGTATACCGCTTGCATATATCACTTGAAAATCACACTGCATGTAAAAGGTAAGACACTGAGATGAGATTTTAGATACTATCTTCTGAATATTTTGAAGCATCTATAAATCTGTCAAACTTCAGGAACAGAAAACAGGAAGCATGAAGAGGCTATATATGCAATGGGAAGTTCATTAATTGTTGACCACTAATTAGCATTCGAGTTTTGGAAAAGATTTCTTAGTTTCAGTCTATGTAACAATTAATTAGCAATGTCAAAGTTATAACAGAACATATTTGCAATTTTGCAAATCCTTAGACCATATCACTTAAGTACCTGTTCATCTGTTGCATTTAGTTCAATGAATAATTCAAAAGTCGAATTGATGACATAATCTGGACGAGCTGAAGGTCTATCAATCTTATTGACAACAACAACTACAGCATGGCCAAACTGTAAAGCCTTCTTCAAAACAAACCTTGTCTGTGGCATTGGTCCTTCAACAGAATCTACCTACAAATAAAAGAGCTGCATCAATCACCAATCAGACAATTGGATAAAAAGAAGAGAATATTGCCTACTTGATCTAAGATAAGCACCAAGAGGAAACATTGCAAGTTTAATAAGAAACAGAGAGGAACACATCCAGAAATAGTAGAGGCGTCTAATGACTGAAATTATAGTCCTGTAGTTTTATAAATGAAGAGTCAAACTAATTTCTATGTAGTAGAAGGTGAATTCAAATACAGTAGAACCTCATGCAATGGCTAATCAACAAAAGATCCACTCAAACCCTTTCTTGAAATGTTCACCAAATTCTAGAGCTAGCACCTTGAAATATTATGAAAGGTGGCAGGTACGAAGAGAAAAGTTTTAAGTATCCAAAAAATGCCTTGGTCCAAAATTCCAGAGTATAATTGGTAGAGTTAAAATAAGGTTTAAGTAGATTAAAAGCATTTAGGCTGGGGATTTATGGGTCGATATGCTGTCATCAGTTGACATTTCTTCAAGGCTAGAAACAATTAAAATAACAAAATAACAGATGCTTTCAGCAGTAAGCCAAACTGAATATGGAAAGAATAAGCCCTGCCCAGTTGACCTGAACTCAGCACATTGACACTTCTTCCTCGTGTTGCTCTTCAAAGCAATTTATCTAGCTAAAAATATCAACATATACAGCCTGTTTGTTGATAATTGGCAAAGGACATACAATAATAGTTAAACAAGGTTAGCACAACAAGTACCATTCACAAAAACATAGTATTTCAGATCGAACAAATGATTCTCATGCTAAAAGGACTTTGATGGGAAACTACAAGTTCATTGTTGACATTTAAGGTCAGTCAAAAATAACAGACTCATAGGAGAATTACTTAGTGCACCAGGTCTGGAAGAAATTTAGTGTACCTTCCCCTCTGAAACAGCCTATTTTCATGGGAGGACCTCACATATTTGCTGTTTATTTACACGTGCATGTTGTGCATCAGGCACATTGAATAAATCCTTTGTACTGGTTTAGTTCCAGAAAACTAATCTTTCACCTTTCAACACCCCCTGAACCCGACCAAAATGCCATGGACATTTGTTTAGATATTAACATCCCTTAATATATATCCTTCACGAATATAACACCATTTCATGTTCACTTTAACTTTTGAGAATGAAGGCACTTATGTTGCCTGGAGGACTTCTTTCAGCAAAATGCAGAAATAACAATAAAAATCAAAAAATCAATGTTGATAACAGAATGATTTGCTTAAAATTATTAGGTTAAATGTATGATAAGCCATATAATTAAAGGTACAAATTAGTACCACTAGAAGGACTCCTTCCACCATATTGAGGATGCGCTCCACTTCACCACCAAAGTCAGAGTGTCCTGGAGTATCTATTATATTAATTTTGGTATCCTTATAAGTAATTGACGTATTTTTGCTCAGTATCGTAATCCCTCGTTCACGCTCTAGATCATTTGAGTCCATTATCCTTTCTTGTACGAATTGGTTATCACGAAATACCTGCATAACAATATTGGTCATAAGTATTAATATCTATTCATTGCTCTCTTCCAAATGATATAATTATCAGATAGCTAAATTAAATCTGACCAGTGGCCACAATTTATTATGATATAAGAATTTTCAATTGAATTTTATTTATTTGGGATTCTCCAAATTAATAAAGATGCATTCAACCTATGGTTCTTAAGTGTTCTTGCATCAATCTGAATAAATTTTTACCTTTTCATTTTCTTTTCTTTAGTTTGAATTTGAAAAACTCTTTCTTGCACATCCAAAGTCCAAAAAGAGGCCAAATTTCAACCTCATTAGCAATCAATAGTTAAAAACGAAACACTCCAACTAATTTGCTATGGCTCAGTGGAAATTGAGTCATCTCCAGTGCCATGAGGTTGTGAGTTAGCACCCAAAGTGCTCAACTTTTATCAAGCAGCAAGCTATTCGATGCAGTCTATGAGGAAGCTATATAGCATGTTTCATTTACACAATAACGAACCATTGTACACATGAATTTCATAACTGTTACCTTTGATTGCCTCAACATGGCATCAACCAAAGTTGTCTTTCCATGATCAACATGAGCAACTATAGCTATATTCCTTATATCGCTTCTCCTCATCATTTGGGCCTTCTTTTCTGAGTCAATATAACAAGATTAAGCTATACCAGAAATTCTAAATAGCATTTACCAATAAAAAAAATTCATAGTAGTAACCGAATTTTTTTAAAATCAATTATGTGCCATATTGAAGAAGAAATTGAATTACCAGTAGCTGTTTCTGTAGCTTGAGAAACAGAGCATTTGATAAGACCATTAAATTGATTTTTTGAACGACACATGAGCGATGTTCTAGTGTTTGGGGAAGAAGATAAGCTGAAACCAAGTAGTTGCTTATTGAGCAGAGAAGAAGAAGCTGTCTTTCTGATAACAGGGTTAGGATTTATCATACAGAAGGAAGAGTTGTTGAAGCTAATTGCCATTTCCATTGCTTACTCCCTTCTACGAGCAAGAGACAGAAAGAGAGGGAGAAGATGGATTTGGCGAATGAGGCTATTATTGAAACTGAAGATTAAAAAATGAAAGGTTGCAACTTGCTACTAAAACTAAAAGAAGGGGGTCGCTTTTCTACGATAGGGTGATAAGCCCAGGTTCTACCACGTCCCGTGTATACGAGTCCATAGAGTTGGCTGCCATAATCATCAAAAAAAGCCCAAAAGTTTAAAGCTTTATTAACCTCAGCCAGTCACCCTTAGAGAGCTTTTGGATAACAATTCCGGAAGGAAAGAAAATATTAAAGGAAAATAAAAGTGAAAAATGTAAAATTTTTTTGTTCTTTTGATGTTGGAATGTTTAAGAAGAAAATAAGGAGAGAAAATGATTTCATGAATAGAAATATTATAAGTTTAATCTAAATAAAACAAATAGAGGTAAAATTGTAAATTTAATGATTTCCATCTAATTTTCCTTGTAAATTAGAGAGAAAATGGCATGTAGGTTTCATAATTTATTTTTCCTTTCATATTTTCTTCATTCATAAACAAATGAAGAAACTAAAAATTTAATTTTTTTTTTTTTGTTAATATTAGCCTTATGGAAATGTAATAAAATTTTAGTTTTTACATCTTTTTAGTGCAAGAGTCATCAATTAATTTCCTAAATCAGTTTTTGCTCTAACTTTTATAAGTTTGGCATATTGATTTAAAAGAATGACGGAGTTTTTAAAAAAATAATTAGAAAAGTTTTAATGGAAATAAAGAGAAAAAAAGGAAATCATTTAATTATTTAATTCTAAAAGATAATTTGCTCAATTTTAATATTAATAAAATATTTTGCTAAGATTGACGGACAAGATATTAATTGAGTAATTGAGGTAGTTAACTATCTCAATTTTTTATAAAGAGAATAACACAAGTTTTATCCACGTGAAAAGCAGTTTGCTGGGAGAGCGCTATTTTGCTCATGGTAGGGAATTATATTTAGCTTGAAAAGAACGTAATTTTGCCAATTTGATGTAAGAAAAATATCTTGTTCTACTGCTATTCACGTGTATATGTGACCAAGAAAATTTCAGAAATTCTCCAGAGTCACATGTTATGTTTGTTTGATTTTTCCATGTCTGGGTGTGTTTTCCAATTGAAAGTTCTGCAATGACTATCCTTATTCCCGCCACCTGGTTTCCTTCTCTTTCAAAACCCCAACGTTCATTTCCTCCACTGAAAACAAGGCCCATCTTTACCTGCTCTGCTTTTAAACAAATACGCAACAGCAGTGTACAATACCCAAATCCACAAATAACCCAATACTCTACCATATCGGGTGCATTTCCTTGTGAAGAAGACACTCTTCTCTTCAGCAACTGGCCTAAGCTCCTAAAGATTTCAATTGGCTCAAGAGATTTCTTGTTGGGTCAGGCAATTCATGCTTATTTAGTTAAATCAGGCTTTCAAGGTGATCCATTTGAAAGGAATAATCTTGTCAACCTTTATGTAAAATTTAGTAGATTGGATTTAGCACAAAAGGTGTATGAAGGAATGCTTGTTAGAAACACAATTACTTGGACTTCACTAATAAAGGGGTATTTGGATGATAATGAATTTGAATCTGCACTTAATATTGCCTCTGAAATGCATAAATCTGGAGAGGCGCTAAATGAGCATACTTGTAGTGTAATTCTGCAAGCATGTAGCTCTCCGGATTATCGGATATTTGGGCAACAGTTTCATTGTTTTGTTATAAAATGTGGGTTTGATGAGAATGTTGTTGTTGGAACTTCGTTGATTGCCATGTACACAAGAAGTAAATTGTTTGGTGATGCAGAGAAAGTGTTTGATAGCATGGCTTGTAAAGATGTTCGGTGTTTCAATTTTATGATTTTAGAGTATGCTAGGGCTGGAAATGGGGAAAAGGCTATACGAGTTTTCATAAATATGCTAAATGCTGGTCTCCAGCCAAACGATTATACATTCACTAACATCATTAGCGCGTGCGATGGGGATCTGGGTATAGAGGAAGGTGAGCAATTTCTGGGGCTTTCTTTTAAGTACGGTTTTCTGAATGAAACTTCAATTGGAAATGCAATTATTAACATGTATGGAAAGAAGGGAATGGCTAGAGAGGCTGAGAGAATGTTTTCTGCAATGACTGACAGGAATCTGATCTCATGGACTGCGCTTATATCTGGCTACACAAGGAGCGGGGATGGGAAAAAAGCTGTTGATACATTCATGGAGTTGCATTTGTGTGGTGTTAACTTCGACTCTAGTTTGTTAACTACCATTCTTGATGGCTGCTCGGAGTGCAGAAACTTGGAATTGGGACTTCAAATTCATGGACTTGTGATAAAGCTTGGTTATGCCTGTGCTGTTAATATTGGGACAGCTTTAGTAGATTTATATGCTAAATGTGGTAACCTAATGTCTGCAAGAATGGTTTTTGATGGTCTTTCCAGTAAGAGAATTGCTTCTTTCAATGCCATTCTGGCAGGGTTTATGGAAAATAGCAGAGATGGTGAAGAAGACCCCATTGTTTTGTTTAATCACTTTAGATTAGATGGTATTAAACCAGATATGGTGACTTTTTCACGACTCCTTAGTTTATCAGCTAATCACAGTACATTAGGAAGAGGAAGATGTTATCATGCTTATGCTATTAAGACTGGATTTGAAGCTGATTTGTCTGTGGCTAATGCTGTGATTACAATGTATGCCAAATGTGGAAGCATTGAAGAAGCTCATCGAATGTTTAATGTTATGAATGACCATGATTCCATATCTTGGAATGCTATGATTTCTGCTTATGCTCTTCATGGCCAAGGTGCAAAGGTTCTGTTGCTATTTGAAGAAATGATAAAAAAAGAATTCGCTCCCGATGAGATCACGATATTGTCCATTCTTCAGGCTTGCACTTACTCTGGTCTATTTAGAGATGGAATAAGCTTATTCAATGTAATGGAGCCAAAATATGGAATTAAACCGTTACTTGAGCATTATGCTTGTATGGTTGATCTTTTGGGTCGGGCTGGCCACCTGTCAGAAGCAATGGATATAATTAACAAAAGCCCTTTTTCAAAGTCAACCCTGCTTTGGAGGACTTTGGTCAACGTTTGCAAGTTATGCGGTGATCGGAATTTTGGAAAGTTGGCTTCAAAATATTTACTTGAGTTGTCACCTGTTGAGGCTGGATCTTACATACTTGTTTCAAATATGTATGCTGGAGAAAGAATGTTAGATGAGGCAGCAAAGGTTAGAACAGTTATGAATGACTTAAAGTTAAGTAAAGAAGCAGGTACTAGCTGGATTGAGATAGATGACAAGGTGCATCATTTTGTAGCAAGTGGCAAAGATCATCCAGAAAGTAATGAAATTTATGCGGAATTGGATCTATTAAGGGATGACATGAGATGGAGATATGATGTAGCTAATTTTAATCTGATTTGGAGTCTTTTATAATAAAAAGAGAAGAATATTTGTGCTTCGGAGTATTTGTAATTCATTTCCAACCCACTGTTTGGTATGGTGTGTGCTCTTCAAGTACTTTTTTTTTGTGCTTAAAGAACTAATTTAATGATTCTCTTTTGGACCAACTAGTCAGATTATGGGTCAAGAATAGAAGTAGAGGACAACATCGTCGAGAAAACTTCCCATCGTAGTAACACTTTTCAAATGCAGAAATAAATGCCAATTAGTCCAGATTATGTTTCGTGCTAATTTGTTAACTTGAGAAAAGGCAAGCACTGTACTGCAGTTGTCTATATTGCGATTCTGTTTCACCATTTGAGAGATAAGGTGGCAAAAAAACAGAAAAAAAAAAGTCAATGTCTCAGATGTATTTATTTACGTGCAGTGGTCCATTGTGGGCTAAAAATTCTGTATTCACTATTGTCGTAGAAGTAATGATAACTTGTATCACTGTGCTCAAGTACAACAAAAGGATATTTGAAAGCTGTGCATACTAAAGGGTGCAGCTTGAAGCATTATTGCTTGGTATATTTGGCATTCTGGCCTCAATCATATGCAAGCGTGGAAGTCTCAAAACTGCAAGGCACTTGTTTGAATGGTTTTGTGCCTTCAACTGTTCTGAACAAAACAGAAATATTCATGGAAATAAAACTGGCAAATCCACCCTGTTTTAGTACCAACTTACATCTGTGCAGTCACTAATTGAGTCTCCTTTCCCATTTGATGTATTAAATAACCACAGGCCGATCTATTTATCATCAAGGTCCACTAATTTGTCTGCCATCATCCTAGTGGTTTTTGTTGTATAAGAAGTATATCATTAGCTTTTCAAGTTCTTTTAGTACCTTCATTTGCATAAAATAATAAGGTTGGATTCTTCATAGATCTCAATTTTCACCAAGATAATAATATCTTCTCGTTTCTGACTTTGTGATGTATAACACTGCAGGATTTCCACTCAAGACTAAATAAGGGAGCTTCTTAGCCCAATAACATTGTACTTACGTGCATCAATGGTCATTATTGGGAGATAGTGAGCAGGTACTGAGATTTCTAAAATGATGCATGTCAATTAAAAATATCATAGTCCAACCTTTTTCTTCTAATTGGGAGACAATGGATCGTAAATCACGGTCTTTAAAGACTTATAGCATGCCTTTCACTGTGTATATCTTCGTTACTTTAAGACTGAAGGCGACACTTAATGTGAAAGTCCTTTCATAATTGTAAAAAATATATAGCTTTGAAGTTCCGATTTCTTGCAGTTGATAGATTGAAACATATTTTTTCAGATTTTTGGTGCTTAAAGATACTGTAATCAATTTTCATTTGAACAACACATAATCCTTGGGATTTTATCTTTACTAGCCAATTCTCTATGGTGTTTGATCTATCTATTGTGTATAATGTATATCACACATTCATCTTAGAAGGCCTGCATTTCTGTCTTTTAGACTAATTTATCATAACCTGTATGTTTATGGACAGGGTCTATTACCCTGAAACAAGGAAGGAAATGATATGTGGGTGATTACTTCTTGTTAAGAATGCTGAAAAGCTCTTCGGTGCATTTTGCTTTTATTTTTTGAATGAAGACTGGGAATGTCGTCTTCTTGGTATTCTTCTTCCTTTTGCCAACCAAGTTGTGGTCACTTTTACTGTGATGGTTGTTATTAACCCAGAAAGTTTTCGGTTTTTTCTTCTTTTCTTTTATCAATAATAATGCATCATTGTCTATTTTCAAAGTTCTTTAAACATTTTCATTATATCATATCTGTATATGAGAATGATGCTATGAAAGCATAATTGATGTCCAAATAAGACTGACACAGAAATGACTATAATCCCATAACAAAATTCCAAGTTTTGGGATATAATTGATGATATTGATAGAGACAGTTTATATATATAACTATGTGATTGATTGGAAGTAATGACCAAAATATTAAATTGTGCATGCAACTTGGCAGAAATAATTTGATTCTTGTCCTCTAGCATGTGATCTTCCATTGGTTCCTTGCCATAGTGAACTTATAATTGCAAAAACCGCATCTCCACTTCCTTGAACACATTCACATGAAGATAGTGCATACATATAAAACAACATTCTATACCACTTGTAGATGCACCAAACTGAACACATCTTAATTATCTTTAAACAAGTATTGGCATTAATTTAAGCACCAAAAGTTTCTTTCAATAAGAAGCAGTATAACTGTACAAGACAAAATAGTTGTTCCACCACTTTCACCAACAAACACTAACTAAAACACACTTGAAACTTCAAACACTCAAACAGTAACATTCCTTAGTTTTTGAGTGCAATTCCTCACTGCCCCATTTCATACATGGGTTTCCTATAGTTCAAAAGATGTAGGAACCCTAATAGTTTGGGACAATTATTTTTGTCCACCATTCTATTTTTTTTTTTTTTTTTTTTTTTTTTTTTTTCTTAAGAGTTTGGAACAATTATTTTTGTGCCACCAGTTCTATGTTGTTTTTTTTTTTTTTTTTTTGCTCTTTTTTTTTTTTTTTTTTTTTTTTTTTTTGTCTTTTTAAGTAAAATATGTTCTATATGATTATAGTAGATTATACTGTATAGTACTATAAGGTTCAAAAGAAGGACCTTTTAGCAGGAGCTCTTCCAACAGCTCTCATCAAATTGGCTATTTCAAGAACTCTAGCAACTTTTGTTCCTCTTTTAGCCTCAGCTGATGCCCTTCTATCCTCTGCTTTCTTGTGTGCTTTTGCTACTTCATTCTGCATCTTCTCTAGTGCTCTTGCTCTTTTCTCTTCCAGCTTCCTCTAAATAAATCAAGCTCATATAAGTTAGAACAAAAAACAAGCTCATATAAGTTAGAACAAAAAAGAGTTATAAACAGTGTTAAAAACAGAGACAACATTAATTTTCTAGTTGATACAAGAAAAAAAAAAAAAAGAAGAAGAAGAAACAGTAAAAGACATATACATGCTTTAGATATAAGCCGATATGAAAATGTGTAAAGGTATAATTCTCATATGTACTTTTCTGTCTTGAGTAGTGCTTGAAGCATGAAAATACTTTTCTTGTTGAAAGTTAGTTATTATCTTTTGTGGAAGCAATAATTACTGAAATTGAAACTTGAGCTAAAATTAGCTCACTAACTAGCAATAGATAAAATACAAATCCAAGAAATTCCATTGTTTGATCATAAACTAGTGGTCTATATTAACTCTTGTCATATAGGTAAAGTATCAACGTAACTTCACCTACATCATCAAGACTCTCTCTAATCAATATGGTTCAAAAAATTCAACAAAGAAATTATGATTGTTATCTGTTTCTCAATTGAGTAATTAATTAACAAGTCCTTAGTATAATCATGAAAAAATCTATATGAGAAGGGAAACATATTAGCTTTGGATCATCAATTCAAAAATTTAATTAACAGGCAAATTAATAAATAATTAATATACTAGACTAATAATTAATTTCTTTCTATACATACCTCAACTTTCTTCATCCAAGAAGAAGCCTTTTGCACTTGCTCACTTTCCCAGCCATTAATTATGGCATCCTCTCTTTTGAACCTATTATTGATCTTAGCAATCTTTGCGTTTTGCCATGCAGATATCTTGGTTTCTATCTCTTCTTTCTTCACTCTCTGCACTGACACATCAGCACCACCACCACCAACAGCAACCACCTGATTGGACCCAACCCTTCTTGAGCTTGAGCTGGGTTCTGGGTCCAAGGGGCGAGTATCAGGCACAATAGCCAAAGGGTTAGTCTCTTCAGGAACTTCATCTTCTCCAATCCTAGCCAACAGGTTGTTTAAGTTACTATCTTCATTATGATCAGAACCGCTATTGTTGTTGTTCATGCTAGTTCCTATTGCAGAACCAGCAAGAACCAAAGCATTGAACTCTCTACTCATGGAGGTGAAGTTCTCACTTGCAGCCCCTTCACTACTCATGGATATTGAGCGATGGCTACCCGTTTCCCAACGGCCTCGAGGCACCGAAGGCGGCGGGGGTGGGGTTAAGGCATGGATATCGCGGATATCTTCATGTTCTTGGTCGTGATCGGTTTCTCCATGGCTTGTGGAGGTGCTGGTGGTAGGTCTTTGAGCACTTAACATAGAGAAAGAGTATTTCTTTCTGGTTTTATTAAGTTGATTATTACTATGTGTGCAAGAAGTGGACAAGATAGTGATGAAGGAGAAGTGGGAATTTGTTAGTGAGAAAAAAGAGTTAAAGATTGGGATATCGTTATGGTCTTGGTTATGAGTGGCAATAATTTAGCAACATGAACCACAAACATAATTCTTTGGAATAAGCTTTAATTCCAAAATTATAAAGGTGCATAAATGAGCCTATAGGATTCAAGGTTTATTTTTGCCCCTTCTCTTTTTTTCTTCTTTTGGATTTTTTTAATGACTAATGACTTTTCAAAGTCTATTTGGTGTTAGTCCTCATAGTTCCATATTGTTGTATTTCCTCTTATTTTACTTTATTTATAATTGTATAGGTTTGTGTATAGGTTTAAATTGAAACAAAAATAAATTTAATTACAATTTCTCTGGCTTAATGAGTCTAGTCAAGTCTAGACACAATATTTATTCAATGAATTATTAAATTTTAATTTGATAAAATTTGCTAATTTATGAATTCTTAAATAAGTTTAGCCTAAACAAACAAGGTATTGGTTGAGGTAGTAAGCAACTTCAACTTTTTTAAAGGTAAAAACACAAGTTCAATCGTCGAGAAAGGTAATTTTTGCACTTTTTCGCTCTCTTGGTTAAAAAAAAAAAAAAAAGGTTTAGCCTAAGATAGATTAAGATGTTTTATTCTAAATTTGGGTCTAGCCTATCTAGACCTAGCTAATATGGAGTTTAGAAATTTATTTAAATCTTACTCATAACAATAAAGTATATATAAAATATTAATGTTTTATTAATTAGGTGAATTTGACATAGCTTGAAATAAAATCCCTAACTAACTAAATTTAAAATTCTTTACTCGAATTAGATTGAATTGGGAGGTTTTTAGAGCCATGAATATATTTATATATTTATTGCAAATATCATTTATAGATTGTAATTTTTTCTTTTAGAGATTATAATCTTTTTACGACTTTCAAAAATAGTATTTTATAATAATTTTTTAAGTAACGTTTAGAGTTTTGATCAGCCAAAACACTAATGCTATTTTTTATAGTGGTCAGGTAACATACCGTTGGAATTAAGTTTTAAATGTTAAGGTAGCATTTTATGAAAAGTTAATTCATATAAGGTTTAGATTTTCAGTTTCATAAAAAGCTAAATAAAAGCTAATAACTAAATGCTACTAAAATAGCTAATTTTGCCGAATAAACCCTTAAGTTACACATTTATGTTTTAAAAAACATCGAGTTTAAACTTTTACAGAAAAAAAGCTACCTCATATTCAATAATTTATCTAATAAAATAAGATTAGAGGATATTTTAAGAAATAATATATTAAAGAAAAATATCCTTAGCAATGAATCCTTAGCAATGAATATCATAAACATAAATAAATTACTATAATTCATTTATAAATGACTTAAAAGAATCTTTTTTTTCTTCTTTTTATTTCTTTTGGAATGTGAACATATCTCATGATTAACCCTAAAAATCCAAACAATTAATTTGTTAGGTTGATCTAAAAATCGTAACAAAAATTTCACTTTCTTCTATTTTTGTTCCCTAAAATCAAGATATTAGACTCATGCTAACCCGTACTACAAAGTTTAGAGAAATGTTTTTTTTTTTTTTTTTTTTTTTTTACATTACCCATATGAGGCCTCATCTAAGATTTAACTAAATCTATTAGAGTTGATATTTAGTTGAGCTACTAACCTAAAAAGGGATTCCTTGAAAAGGGCTACTTTCAAGTTGCTAAATTTATAATTATTAAATAAGTATTGGGGATAAATTGCTAAATTTAGTTTATTTTAGGTCACAATTTTAAATTCGGGAAATTATGATGACGTTTATGCAAAAGATAGACTTTTCCCATTTTGGTGAGTAAGTGTCGGCCATAAAGTTAATTGGCTTGACCCCACCAGGATTAGGTCAGTGGTGGTGAACCAGTACACACGCGTCGTAGGGTATCAATCAAGTTTCTGTAGATCGTAGGGTATCAATCAAGTTTCTGTAGAGGGTGGACACGTGGCAAAACTTCAGTCCGATAAGGACTCGTCACTGGGACCTACATATGTTCCTTCCATGCAAACGCTGGCCTAATCCACTATATTTTTGCCACGTGTTTTTGGATTTTCCTTTCCGCTCGCTCTCTAATCCTCTTGGGTTTGCAAGATGCCCACGTCTCACATGATAAATTAATGTTATCTTAGAGATGTCATTAATCAACTATAATACGCGGTTTAGTGATTAGAGAATAAAAATCAAACCTTCACAATGTTTTCTTTTTTTTTTTCTTTTCTACTTTTATGATGACTAATCTTATGAACTTTTATATTAGCACAATTTTTAATAAATTTAAATTATTGAATATAATTATTATGCATATTGTAAAATTATTTAAAAATATGATTCAATTTGAATTTTAATAAAATTAAGAGTGTAATTATTATATAAAATCATATACATTCAAATGAAAAAACCTTCAATAAAACATGAAAATTTTAGTTTGAACGTTGAATAGTCAAAATTTCCCTTTTCAAAAAAAATTCAAAATTAAGAAATTTTCTGGGTATGGGCCTTTGTTGATAATATAGAATTGTGAATTAATATAAAATTTATATATTAAAACAATAAATAAAGAAAAAAAAGTATATAACAACCACTGACTTGTATTTATAAAGACTCTTAAATAGGAAAATCAAGACCTTAAAGATACATACTAATATATATTATATTTTTATGTGAGCTTAAATAGTGCTTTTTTTCTTGAGTACCGGGAGAAAAAATTTAAATCTGAATTTATTATCAGGTAGTATATATATTTATCATTAAATTATGTTTCGGTGTGCAAATAGTAATTAATTTATTGCTCATCCAATGAGAAATCCAGAAATATACTATTACCAATTTTGGAGCTATCCTATGATGTAACTGGGGAATAAAATATGGAAAGGTGCTGGCAACTGCGATCTAATAGTATAATAAAAGTAATTATTATACAAAATTGTTACCGTTAAATGAAAAACTTCAGCAATAATATGCAAAAATATTTTAGTATAAATGTTAAAAATTAAAGAAATTTCGTTAACATAATTTCTGGAAAAATTTTAAAAAAAATTAACGTGAAAACACAAAATATAAAATAGTTTGCTGTAAAAATATATCTTAATAGTTATACATAGAGATGAATTTAATATATCTAATAGTGATAATAAAAAAATATATATTAAAACAATAAGTAAAAAAAAAAAATTGCATACATATACTTGGCTATGCATGATATTAAAATATTTATAGGAAGAACTAAGAATATAGTATTAGGAAATATTTTATATTAATTAAAAAACTAAATATATTATCAAAATAGTTAAATTTATGAAGCGAATGTTTATGATAATTTATATATATTTAATTATTAAAAAAGATATTTTAACTTTATAGGGGTAGATGCAAACTTAAAGATTACATACTATACAAAATATATTTTTAAACGGGTTTAAATAGTAATTAATTTGTTTTAAGCATTGCTTGTCCAATGAGAAATGCACAAATGTACTCTTCCCTAATTTTGGAGCTATCCTATGATGTAATTAGTAGTGGTGGACTGTAACGTATAGAAATGCTAGCAACCGACATTGATATTAATATTTAATATTTAATAATAGTATTCTCTTTCAATAATTATCATTTAATTAATCTATATTTATATTTAATTTAAAAGTAAGTCACCTATAACTCTATGGTTTCACATCACTTATAGTTTCAAATCAGTTTTTATACGCCGCTTGATCTGATAAGGATAATTTAAATCTACGTATTATATTAAATTCGATTTTCATATACGGAATAAATACTGGCTGGAGCACTTTATTATTGAGTGGAGCCAATCTAGTATGAGCAGATTTAATTCTAATCCAATATGCCAAGAAAATAGGTGGTTAAGAAAAAAAAAAAAACAGATGAGTTTCAACAAATAAACAATAAGTGTTTGAAAGAAAATTTAATTAAGAGATTGTACATAGTATTCTCCAAGTAACATGTGTCCACTGTTTAGTAATAAAGATTGGTGTCAAGTGTCTTAGAATGTATTGAGACTTGGGTGTGTGAGAGTGACCTATCGATGCAAATGAAAATGGCTTGCATAGTATTTTATTTTATGATTAATTTTTTTTTTTTTTTTTTTTTTTTGTTTATGTATGGTAAGGTAAGTTGTAACATCATTTAATGCATATCTTGGGATTTGGGTAACCCTTTGAACAAACATGCTACTTTGATTATCTCGTAGATTGATTGATTTTTTTTTAATAATATATTTGTTTATAAAAACCAATAAAAAATAAATAAATAACAGATTTATTTTATATTATATCCATTAAATATCAATATCAATATTTAAAATATGAAATTGACTTTTTTGTATTTAAATGGATATATAGAGATTTAGTGTCTGGCATTGATTTGATTTGTATTGATTTAGTGCATTGAATGAAAATGAATTTATATTTTCTATTTATTGTTAAAATTCAATCTCGTGGCTCTTTATTTTTCACTCCTAATCTAATTTATTTCCATAAAATATAAGAACTGTACTCTTAAATTTATTCGAAAAAAGAAATAATTTCCATTCACGCATGAATTAAATTGAGATATCCATTAAAATACATAAATGATAGTCATTTAAATTGAAGTAATTTAAATCAATAAAATTAAACTAAAATGAAAAATAATATGGAGTAGATGACCATAATAGATAAAAAGAATAACTATTGCAAAATATTATACACCCTAGACATAAACTTTGAACTAAGGTTTTTCGTTCTCTTTTATTCTCCACGAAGTTACAAATTTTTATGTTTTTTTTAAGAATACAATGAATTCGGTGAAACATTTAAAAAATAAATGAGGTGTCAAACATACATTGGACGAATTTTTTTTTTTAAAAAGGAATATTTTAAGACTTGAGAAAAATGCACATCCTATATTATTGGAGAAGGAGAAGAATCCAGAGAAGAACTAGATAGTCTCTGCCATCCAATGGGCCTCAAAGTTTTCCTCCTAGTTTGGCAGGCCTGTGTGCGTACAATAATAGTAAGAAAAAAATAAATTTTTGCGTTGCTAGCGAAATTCCTATAACGAAACTAATACATACATCTTTCGGTTCGAAAAGTTGATCTTTTATCCATTAATTTCTATAAAAAGATTAAAATAATCTTGTTTAAAAAAAAAAAAAAAGACAATTTTAAATCTCCAAATTATAGCGAAATTTCTATAACGAAACTAATACATACATCCGTCAGTTTTAAAAGTTGGTCATTTATCCGTCAATTTATATGAAAAGACAAATAATATTTTTTAAAGAAAAATATAAAATTTAGAGTTTCCAAATTATAGCGAAATTAATATATAATTTTATAAAATTAACACATATCTAGTTGAGCTTGATAAGTCATTAATGTATTTATTAAATGAACTTGATAGTTCAGCTTGAGTCAACTCGTTAAACTTATCGAACAAGTTCAAGCGAGCTTTTTTTAAACAGAGCCTCGAGCATTTTCATATATAGATTGACTTATTTACAATAATACTCATAGCGAGACTTTTTTAAGTCAATTTTAAATACAAAACTGACTATCACTTTAGAAAGAAGATTTCAAATTTAAAGGATCAACCGATATCTATTTTCAGTTTTATTTGAAGGGTATTAAGAATCAACGATCAAATATCAAATCCATAACAGGGCACATAAAAAGATGGCAGCGAGTAGATCGCCCGCTTAAAAATTAATGACATGCACTTAAGTTTTAAAGGACTTCTTTTATACAAGTACAATATTACAAATATGTAGTACAACATTAATACAATTACACTAGACAAACATAAAATACTCAAATCCACAAACCACGGAAAATTGTAAATAATAACACAACAAGGAAGGAAATGGAACCAACAAAGTGATGGTTAGAATGGTAAATGATTTTAAAAAATATTTACGCTCTACGATCCAAAGAAATTACTCCTCCTGGTTGTATGAAAAAAAAAAAAAAGCCCAACTAATTGAACATTTAACATTTATGTTTATCATTGGCCGATAATTTTTGTTGAAAGGCCACAACACCTGCAATATATAATCCAAGTCAAAAACAGTCTACTCAAATTCAATTCAAAAACACAGTCTACTCAAATTCAATTCAAAAACCTTAGCTAATAGGTGACAAGTGAATAGGTGACAAGTGTCCATTTTCTCTAACAAATTCAATTTTATCAAAGTGTGTGAATATATACAAAGAGGAAATTAACAAATATAAAGGGAAAAAAAAAAGATATTGTCTTTAAAAAGCGAAATATTTACCTCATATAAGGCAATTCACTGCACCTAGCAACCTCATATAATTTCCATCTTCCAAACACTCAAACTAAACCGAGTGAGTTATTGAGGTCTTGACCTATTAATCCAGAGACATAAGAATTGTCAAATTAACATATATACATACATAAAATATAATGTTCTCTTACGAAATGGTAAATTTTCTAAGCATATTGTATTTTAATTTTAATTAGTTAAATATATGAAAAAAAACATTTGACCACAAGTAAAATTATTTTTTAGATGAAAAGAAAATTAAATAAGTTGATTAATAACATACTCTCTACATCATTCCTCCAAAATCATTCCTCCAAAATACAAGTCGTTTAAAATTACCCTTTATTTCATATAATAATATCCTCACCTTGATATTGGGGGCAACCAGTGATACGTAACTCAAGCGATGGTATGCCGTGCATGTAGTTTGGAAAGTTCCTGAAGTTGCAACAACATGCAACTTTGATAACTTTTAAACCGGTATTAGATCTGTGAAGAAGCCATTGCGGAAAATCCACTAACTTTGGTAAGCCTTCAATCTCCAGTTTGCAAAGGCTAAATAATTGGCTTGTCGAGTCTTGACTATCTATTCCTTCCTCCATTCCTCCATTGTCAAATCAAGATTTTCGCAATCGCAACAACAAAGAGTCTTCAAAAGCAGCTGAGTCTTCAAAGCAGCTAGAAATTTCACACTTGGTGGCAAAGAGACCAAGCTGTGACAATGACGGATAACCAAAGTTTGAAGTTTTTTCAGACCTTGGATATCTCCAAACAAATACTCCAAATTTTCACAACCGATGATGAACAAATATCGAAGAGATCCGAGGCACCCAATTCCACCATTTGGTAAATACCTTTGCTGTGTAGTTATCCAAAGCATTCTAAGGCTAATCAAGTACTTTATATCTTTGGGCAACTCTCTAAGACCATCACAATCACCAAGCAGTAGAGTTTGCAAGCTTTGTAGTTTGCATATGGACTCAGGCAGTCTTTTGATGCGAATATTCCCATACAAACTAAGATATCTCAAATGCTTCAATTTGGCTATCCCTCTAGGGAGTACAGCCACCCTGGAAAAACCCAAATCCAAGGTCCTCAAGTATTTGAATTTTGAGATACATGTCTCAATGAAAACTTCACTTGCAACACCCCCGTTTCTTTCATTTAAAATGGAAACAGTTCTTACAGAATCTAGGTCTTGTAAGGGTGTTGGAAGATCCTGTGGAAGTAATTGAGGGTAGGGAAATGATAAGTGTCGAATGCTGTCAGATAATGGTTCATTGCCATTTATTACCGTTAAGCATTCATTTTGAGTGACTGATAATGCTAGATCGTGAATTAGATCATGCATTTTACATTTAACATGGCCATCTATTATATAGAACTCTTGGAAAAAACATCTAGAGCATAGCTCTTGGAAATAGCTCAAGCCCACATTTTCCAACTCTTCATTTTCATTTGAAGATTGAATAAGTCCATGTGACATCCAAAAATAAACCAATTCAACATCATCAAATGGATAATCTTTTGGAAAAATCGAACAATAAGCAAAACATCTCTTCAAGTAGGCTGGCATCAGTTCATAACTCAATTTTAAAGCAGGCATAATATAATTATCCTTTTGCTTTAATTTCCATATCTCACTCTCCATTACAAATTTCCAAGCACTGTCATCTGTTACAGAGTAAAGTAGGGGAGTAAAGTAGGGGTTCCAAAGTTATTACTGGTTATTACTGCTAAAGGAACTCCCTTACATTTACTCACAATTTGTTCTCCATAGTGTATGAGGTTTGGATTTTGGTTCTGCACTTCTCCGAATGCACATCTAAAAAACAAAGACAAACAATCTGGTTCAGGAAGCCGACCTAAAGCGTATGGAGCAACTGTGCCCATAATTGTAGCAACATCATTGCTTCGTGTGGTGGCTATGATCGTACTTCCATTAGCACCCACCATTAATAAAGTTTTCAAGTCAACCCATTTTTTTCTATCCTCATTCCAAATATCATCCAATACGAGTAAGTATCTCTTTCTTTGTAAAGCCTCTCGCAAGGCTCTTTGCAATTGCTCAATATCCAAACCCACATATCTTTGACCAGTGCTTACACAGTTGAGAATCTTAATTATCACAGTTTGCAAATGAAAGTTATCAGAGACACAGACCCATAATTTCAACTCAAAATGAGTAACTACTCTAGGATCATTATACACCAATTGAGCAAGCGTAGTCTTCCCCATTCCTCCAATTCCAACAATTGGAATAATGGAGACATTGTCATTTTCAGCAGCATTCAACAAATTTTTAATGATAAATTATGTGTCTTGGTCTCTTCCAGTGACAGTTGCAGGATCCACAAAGGAGTGGGTCATGGGCTTCTCCGTATGGATGACATAATTATCATTAATCTGCTCATTGAGACCAAAATCAGACTTGAGAGATGCAATTTCAGCTACTCTCTTCCTAATGTTCTTTAATTCATGGCCCAATTTAAGGCGGAATGCAAGTGGATTACATGTAGAAAAGAATCGGCGTACCTTCCTAGTAGTGCTTCCGGATTTCACCACTTGCCTTCGCAAAGCTTCACATTCGAACTCATCAATCACATCTTCCGTATCATAAAGAACTTCTTTAAGCTTTCCAAGCCAAAACTCTATCCGGTGATCCTGGGATTGACGCTTCTCTGCATCAGAAAGCACAGCTTTGATAGCAAGTAACATCTCTTTAATTTTTTCAAGGTCATCTTCAAGCCCCCATGCCAAGAAAAATTCTTGAAGAGCAAGAGCAGTCAGTTTGCCCAAAACGCTTTCTGCAGTAATGAACAAAAAAGACTCTACCATTGTTTTCTCGTTGGAAGTGAGTGAATGGTTTGATGAGCAAAGATCAAACACAGATGGAAATGATTTTTTTTTTCCAGTAAAATAATTTATTTTATCAGTATTAATATGACTATGAAAAACCTAAACAAACTCAAACATCTAATCCCATATGAAAAACCTAAACAAACTCAAACATCTAATCCCAAGCCATCCAAACCTAGTTTAACCTTAGATTCTTTGCTAGACAAAGAAGATTGACTTTCTAACATTGCAAGTTTGTGCTCTGTCTGGGCACGATATTTATACTCTCGGGCCAATGGGTTTGTGATTAAAATAAAAAATAACATTATTAAACTGTGGAATTCATTTCATTTATTTGCTTTGTGCAGTGCAGCGACCAATCTAGGAAAAAAAATTTTTCATATTTTTTTTATAAATTTTATTAATTTTTTAGATTTCAAGATACCTCCTGAATATTTTTTTAAACATTATTTTAAAAAATTTATAAAATATTTAAAAATTTATTAATAAAATTGTGGTCTTAAATATATATTAGATAATTATTCGTACGTAAAGTAAAAGTTTAAAGATATACAAATGAAAAAAAATTCAAATAATTATCACAGTTTATAAGTTTTTTACTACATAAATATCTAGTGGTGTTAACTTTAGAAGGCCGTTTCACAATGTCGATTGAAATTCAAGATTTCACAAAACTTATATATTGTTAGTGATCTTCGGTTTTTATCAAGAAAATGCCTATAATATTATATTGAACAACCTAAAATATGTAGTGTTTTAGTGATGAATTTGAAACTTCTAAAAATATTGAAATTCTTCATCTATTGAAATTCTTACATCAAATTGCTAATTTTTCCTCTAAACAAATCAAAGATAGAGGCCCTATTTTAATAAATGATGTTAAGATTGAAAATTTTAATTAAGAAATATTAAGTAGAAAATTTAAGTAATTTTTTTTATTTTATGTTCATCGTGTATTATGGATCATCTTTTTCTTTGTTTGTATTTTTTTTTAATAATCTTTAATTATATTCAATTAGCATAGCATGTCTAAGCATAGCATGTCTAAGCGTGCCGTGTTCTTTTTTTATACATAATTTAATTATTGAATTTTGATAAACAAATTTAAAAAAATTAATTATTTAGCCGACGAAATTATTTAAGTAATTCGTTCGTTTTAAATAAATATTTATTGTGTCAATAACGTTTACATCCGTCGTTAGTCCCTCCGTTTTTTTCTTAAGTGACATGGAAAGGACGAAAACACCCTTTGGCCATATGAAAGTGACAGATCCATTCTCTCCCTCCCCGCCATCTCCCCTGCACTGCTCCTCCACCATCGGCTTCTCTGCCATCAATATCCCCACCCCTTTCATCTTCGCCATCTTCAAACTCTCTTCCCAACCTCTCCACACAAACCCCCTCGCCTCCAAACCCAAAATCTCCACTCTCTTGCTTACCTTCCTCGTGTTGCTCAGTGTCGATTTCGTCCTTACTAGCTATCCTATGCCTCACCGTCGACTCGGCTCTTTCTGTCGACCTGGAGGTCCAGCTTGTCCATGTGGACGCATTACGGACTAAGGAGATCGCAGATACAGTGTTGGCTTTGTTTATTGGCTTATTATGCACAGACTCATTTGCTCTCTCGCCACGCGCTTTTGGCTTCTTTAACTTGAATTTACTTTCTATTAGATAACAAGAGGAAATTAGTTGAAAAAAAGTATCGGTTTTGGAGAAATTACATCCTCTTCATTAGGAATTTTTTTAATTAATCATGCTCATTGCAATACTAGTGAAGTAATTTTACCAAATATCTAAAAGGCTAGTTCACCTGTAGATGCGTGAAGGCTTTCCCATTGAGGAAAAACAAGAGAAGGGTAATTTTATCAATTTTATATATGTTCTCTCTCCTCTCTTTTACTTTTTTCTATATTTAAGGGAAAACACCATTAAAAGTGGACGAAGAGATTATTCAGGTGACAGATGCAAATGTCAGGGATGCTTTGAGTATTTATTCAAAACGAAGGAATTTCTTAGATAATTTCATCGTATTTTAGGGACTAAATAATTAATTTTTCAAAATTTTATGGCATTTTAAATTTAAAAGTAACCTTGTGATACATTGAATTTCACTTTTTGTAATAATCTCACACCTCCTTAATTAAGAGCAACATTTTTTAAGGTTTTTTATTTTTATTTACAAAATATTGATTTGATACGTGGTTAATGCAACTTTTGGAACAATATTTTTTACATTTTTAACTATATAATAAGTGTTGTTTACAAGTTGAGGTGTTGAATGGTCAAATACAATGTTTATCAAATCAAATATAGAATTGTTTTGGATCCAAATCTAAAACCATATAATTACTGTTCACTTTCTTTTCAAGTCCCAAATATATAGTTTTAAAGAAAAATCTAGATTGAAGGAGAAATTGATAAAATGAAATAGTTTTAAAGAAAAATCTAGATTGAAGGAGAAATTGATAAAATGAAACATATACAAGTAATACAAGGTGAAAATCACATTATTTGATGGATAACTTATATAATACAAATTTTTATTTGAAATTTTGGAAAAAGAATCAATTTTGTTAGCAAGAGAGATATTTTTGGAAGTCATAGAGAGTCGTATATTGAAGAGATATAGAGGAGTAGAAAGTTCCTGAATAGCTTATGCAGAAGATTGCTTTTTGTAGGAAACACGAGAAATGGAGAGACTACAATGGAGGAAGTTATCTCCAGTGAAAAAGCAAAGAGCCGATGTTGAAAGGGTCTCTAGTGTTAGTGTGCCCACCGCAAAAAATTATTTACAGTCAGTAAATAATTGAATCTATTGACAGATCGTATATACATTTATCATTGGACGATGCCTCGGTGTGCTATTATACTGCAGAATTTATTTAATTTCTTTACTCTATCTAGGCATGATGATGTTTATAATCTAGTTTTAATAAACTAGGTCAACAATAGTCCATATCATATAACTAAGCAAAAACAACTTCTTATACCCACTTTTTAAAATTATCATTAAGATAATATATTACTCTACTGTATAATTTATTTCATATCTCTAATGTGAAAGTTATTTCCTAACAAACCTTGAACATTTATTTTCGAGCTAGTCCACATATGATTCCGTCGTGGGTATTGAAGTTAGGTACACTTAACAACCAAAAAAAAAAAAAAAAAAAAAAAAAAAAAAAAAAAAAAAACGATGAGATATTTTATTAACTAAATTATGGAATGAAATCATAAGAGGGTATTTATTTACGTAATTAGCAGTGAAAAATTTCTCCAAACCTCCAAATCTTATCATTATCGTGCTTTGTTTTTCAAAATTAACTGTTTTAGTAACTGTTAATTAAGAAATCTTCAGCTATATTACTTATCTTTAACTTTGACCCAAAATAAACTTAATTTGATTGAATATTATTTTTGGCTTCTACTACAGTAAATAATTTACTAGTACATGTACTTTCTTTTTGTGTCATTTGGCATGCTAACTTATCGTAGCAGGTAAATCTAATTGATTATGTACGTACTTTTTCTTTTTCCTTTTCAAATATCTTTTTTTAAAAAACTAATTTGAAAATTTTTGTGATTATATATGTATTTTTGTGATTATATATGTATTTAAGAAAATTTTACATATCACGTAATTTATATGAAAATGATATGATTTCACATAAAAAATAAATGAATAAAAAGTCTTAATATGAATATTAAAATTTTTGGAAATATTTAACCAAGATAAATAATTTTTTCTATAAAATTTTATAAAATGATCTTAATTAATATCATATATTAAAACATTTATAGATTTGAGTTATCCAAATTGATATATGCATTGATTTAAATTTTATAAAAGATTATTGTTGGTGTTTCGTACGTGATCCATTTTATAAAACTGGTAACAAGATAATTAAAAGTTTTCATTATTTTATTTAGTTAATAGTACTAAATTTGCATTAACTAATACATTTTTTATACTATAAATGTTAAATCCGACGTGTTAAGCTATATGCCGTCCTACTTAGCAATATTTTGAATATTAAGTGGGTCTCATGAATCCTATTCTTATTTTCAACAAGCCACGTAAAATGAATACACCTAATCGAAAAAAATTTATTTGGTAAGAAATTTGATTGTAAACGTTTTTTCGTTGAGATATTGAATAAAAATTTTTCAAAAGTTTAGAAACTAAATTTGTAATTACCTCATTTTAAAATATTCAAATTAATATATATATTTATGAACTCAAAATCATTGATCAAGATAAAGACGGCTACAATATACTTCATAGATAGTTTTCTTCCATTCAATAATTAATTAATTAATTTTAACAAATTATACAAGTTAATTCTAATTATAGTCTTATATGCCTGAAAATACATAGAAGAATCAACAACTAAATTGATCTAAAATGTTAATCTGATTTTTTTTTGATTATTTTAAACAAATTCAAAGATTTAATTGACTCAAAATATTGAATTTAATATTTTTAACTTTATTCCTAAAATAAAATAACAACAATAAAACCCTCAAGATTTGATAAGCTTATGTTAGTTAATCTACCAACTAAAACCCTGCAAATTGCAATTATAGCCACTCTGTTAGTTAATCTACCAACTAAAACCCTGCAAATTGCAATTATAGCCACTCCACGGCTAATAGCGCAACCGCCTCTTCTTGTAACTGGCCTGGGGAAAAGAAACCCCTAATTCCCAAATTCTCCAATCTCTTCCCTAATAGCGCAACCGCCTCTACCTATTTCTTTGCCCCAAGCCTAGTACAAGTAAAAGCGTTTTGAGCTCTGCATAAAAAGGTAATCCCTCTGTTACAGTACATTCCCTTTCGTTGCTGAATGCTGACTTTTGTTATCTTGGAGTAATTTTATTGTTGGTTTTGAAATGTTATTGAATTTTGAATTTTTTTCTTGCTGTTTGTCAATACAACCACAACTACTACTTAGCCTTACAGAAAAAAAAAAAAATCTTTCATGTGATTTTGATAGATATTTTGACCTAAGTTTTGATCCTCATATTTGGATTACTGTGCCAAAGATGATTTATGGATTTATGGTCTGAGTTCGTTAACTAAAAAGTTAAAGACTTTGGTGTATATTGGATTTGGATTCTTGTTAATTAGTTCAGTTATCTACTACATCTACTATGATATGCCAATGCGTGAATGCGAATCGACTTGTATATTGATGTGTCATTGTTGAGCTTGCAAATTTAGGACAGCAACATTGTAGAAATTCGCCTTGCTTATTGAGATTACGGGTCTAATCTTTAATCATAACCTTATGCATCTCTTTAAATGAAGCAAGGTATTCTTTGGAACTAATGGGAGATTTAGCAGAAGTAGAATGAGAGATTTAGCGAAAGTACGAATTGATGTATTCTAGATTGATTCAAGTGTAAGTTTATGGTTTGTGCCCTTGGTGACTGCTTACTATCCTCCCGTATGTGTTTGAAGGTATCCATCAACACTCTCTTGTTCTGTGTTAACTCTAATCTGTGATTCCTTTATCTTTTATAAGGCAAGAAGGAAGGGTATTTAAAACCCTAACTGACTCTTATCCATAAGCCCAATAAACCATCATCTTGGGCCACCTAATAGAACCAAGCCCTTTAATCACATGGGCTACATACAGATTATTAATAATCTAACATAAGTTTCATTTAAAATAAAGATTTGTAGATGAGAAAGTTGAATATAGGAGGAGAGAGATGACCTCACTCATTGTTCAAGCTTCAGATGTTATTGGGAAGAGATTTTTGATAGAGATAAAATTATCGACTTTTTGTTGATTCATAGTAAGGAATGAAAATCTTTCAGTTGTTCGTAATAATTTTGAATTGGTCGGCCAAGGGAAAGACGTTACATTAGCTAAAAATGGTGTATAAATGAATGAAAGGGTAGACAAGAAATTTTCATTGAAGATGTGGGGTTTGTGTGTCTCAAGGAATTTGAATGTTACTAGGTTGGCTAAGGAGGTTGGCTAAGGAGATTACTAGTTCTGCTACTGGTAGGAGTTATGGTGACCTGACAATGGATCAATTGCAAGCACGATTGCGGAGGAGTTTAGGTGGTAGAAAGTTTTTGCTTGTTTTGGATGATGTTTGGAATGAAAATCTGGTTAAATGGGTTGAATTTAGAGGTTTGTTGGAGGATTGTGCTTTGGGAAGTAAAATTATTGTAACTACAAGGAGTTCAAAAGTTGCTTCTGTTGTAGGCAATGATTTTGCATACAATTTGCCTGTCTTTCCCATAAGGATTGTTTGTCTTTGTTTTGGAAATGGGCATTTAATCCAGGACAAGAGAAGCAATATCCGAATCTCATAGATATTGGGAATGAGATTGTAAGGAAATGTGGAGGGGTTCCTTTAGCAGAGGGGTTCCTTTAGCAGTGAGAACATTAGGAAGTCTACTTTATTCATCAACCGAAGAAAAAACTTGGGTGTCCATCAGAGACAATGAGATATGGAAATTACAACATCAAAAAAATGACATCCTACCGGTGCTGAAGTTGAGCTATGATCACATGCCATCTTACTTGAAACGATGTTTTGCTTATTGTTCCCTCTTTCCCAAAAATTATGTGTTGTACAGTTTTGAATTGATTCAATTTTGGATGGCTTATGGACTTCTTGAATCGCCTGATGAAGATGAAGCATTGGAAGAGAATGGGTTGCGTTTTGTGAAAGAACTATGGTCGAGATCTTTTCTCCAAGATATTGAGGATCACGGTTTCTTTTTTACCTGCAAAATGCATGATCTTGTACATGATCTAGCTATATCAGTTGCGCAAAGCGAGTGCTCAACTGTAATTTGCCAAGTCAACAAGTTCCTAAGTTCTTGCACAAGTTAGAGAAGGTAAGAACTATATTTTTCCCAGTTAGGGGGATGGGGCCTAGTACCGGAACATTTATTGACACCTGCATGTCAAGATTCAAGCACTTACGAGTGCTTAATCTTAGCGATTCATGCTTTGAGACATTGCCAAATTCAATTGGTACATTGAAGAATTTGAGATATCTTGACCTTTATAGGAATCGGAAGCTTCGAAAACTCCCTAATTCCATTTGCAGGCTGCAGAATTTGCAGACCTTAAGACTTGAAGAATGTGAGAAGCTTGAAGAAATTCCTAGAGATATCAAGCAGATGACTCGCCTCAGGTTTTTGGAGATAACTACAAAACGGACTTCCTTACCAGAAAATGGTATAGGATGTGTCAGTTCTCTAAGATATCTGTCTTTGTTTGAATGTGGAAATTTGGAAAAATTGTTTGATGATATGCAGGCTCTGACATCCTTTCGAACATTGGTTATAACTTCTTGCGGGAGTCTAGCATCCTTACCTCGCGGTATAAGGAATCTATCTGCATTAGAAACTTTGGTTATTGGAGACTGTGGAAAGCTTAATTTGATGAGACTGTTGGAAAAGCTTAATTTGGGATGGAAAATGGAAAATACTGAAGATTTAATTGAGACTTAGTTTCAATCCTTAGTTTTGAGTGCAAAATTCCTCAACTGCCCTTCAGACATGGGTTTCCTATAGTTCAAAAGATGGTAGGAAACCCTAATAGTTTTGGGACAATTATTTATTAGAGATCCACCCATTCTTTTTTTTTTTTTTTTTTTTTTTTTTTTTTTTTGTCTTTTTAAGTAAAATATGTTCTATATGATTATAGTAGATTATATTGTATAGTACTATAAGGTTCAAAGAAGGACCTTTTAGCAGGAGCTCTTCCAACAGCTCTCATCAAATTGGCTGTTTCAAGAACTCTAGCAACTTTTGTTCCTCTTTTAGCCTTAGCTGATGCCCTTCTATCCTCTGCTTTCTTGTGTGCTTTTGCTACTTCATTCTGCATCTTCTCTAGTGCTCTTGCTCTTTTCTCCTCCAGCTTCCTCTAAATACAAGCTCATATAAGTTAGAACAAAAAAGAGTTATAAACAGTGTTAAAAACAGAGACAACATTAATTTTCTAGTTGATACAAGAAAAAAAAAAAAAAGAAGAAGAAGAAACAGTAAAAGACATATACATGCTTTAGATATAAGCCGATATGAAAATGTGTAAAGGTATAATTCTCATATGTACTTTTCTGTCTTGAGTAGTGCTTGAAGCATGAAAATACTTTTCTTGTTGAAAGTTAGTTATTATCTTTTGTGGAAGCAATAATTACTGAAATTGAAACTTGAGCTAAAATTAGCTCACTAACTAGCAATAGATAAAATACAAATCCAAGAAATTCCATTGTTTGATCATAAACTAGTGGTCTATATTAACTCTTGTCATATAGGTAAAGTATCAACGTAACTTCACCTACATCATCAAGACTCTCTCTAATCAATATGGTTCAAAAAATTCAACAAAGAAATTATGATTGTTATCTGTTTCTCAATTGAGTAATTAATTAACAAGTCCTTAGTATAATCATGAAAAAATCTATATGAGAAGGGAAACATATTAGCTTTGGATCATCAATTCAAAAATTTAATTAACAGGCAAATTAATAAATAATTAATATACTAGACTAATAATTAATTTCTTTCTATACATACCTCAACTTTCTTCATCCAAGACTTTTGCACTTGCTCACTTTCCCAGCCATTAATTATGGCATCCTCTCTTTTGAACCTATTACTGATCTTAGCAATCTTTGCGTTTTGCCATGCAGATATCTTGGTTTCTATCTCTTCTTTCTTCACTCTCTGCACTGACACATCAGCACCACCACCACCAGCACCAACAACCACCTGATTGGACCCAACCCTTCTTGAGCTTGAGCTGGGTTCTGGGTCCAAGGGCGGAGTATCAGGCACAATAGCCAAAGGGTTAGTCTCTTCAGGAACTTCATCTTCCCCAATCCTAGCCAACAGGTTGTTTAAGTTGCTATCTTCATTATGATCAGAACCGCTATTGTTGTTGTTCATGCTAGTTCCTATTGCAGAACCAGCAAGAACCAAAGCATTGAACTCTCTACTCATGGAGGTGAAGTTCTCACTTGCAGCCCCTTCACTACTCATGGATATTGAGCGATGGCTACTACCCGTTTCCCAACGGCCTCGAGGCACCGAAGGCGGCGGGGGTGGGGTTAAGGCATGGATATCGCGGATATCTTCATGTTCTTGGTCGTGATCGGTTTCTCCATGGCTTGTGGAGGTGCTGGTGGTAGGTCTTTGAGCACTTAACATAGAGAAAGAGTATTTCTTTCTGGTTTTATTAAGTTGATTATTACTATGTGTGCAAGAAGTGGACAAGATAGTGATGAAGGAGAAGTGGGAAGGACAAGATAGTGATGAAGGAGAAGTGGGATTTTGTTAGTGAGAAAAAAGAGTTAAAGATTGGGATATCGTTATGGTCTTGGTTATGAGTGGTAATAATTTAGCAACATGAACCACAAACATAATTCTTTGGAATAAGCTTTAATTCCAAAATTATAAAGGTCCATAAATGGCCCTATAGGATTCAAGGTTTATTTTTGCCCCTTCTATTTTTTCTTCTTTTGGATTTTTTTTTAATGACTTTTCAAAGTGCTATTTGTGTTAGTCCTCATAGTTTCCATATTTTGTTTGTATTCCTCTTATTTTACTTTATTTTATAATTGTGTATAGTGTGTATAGGTTTAAATTGAAACAAAAATAAATTTAATTACAATTTCTCTGGCTTAATGAGTCTAGTCAAGTCTAGACACAATATTTATTCAATGAATTATTAAATTTTAATTTGATAAAATTTGCTAATTTATGAATTCTTAAATAAGTTTAGCCTAAACAAACAAGGTATTGGTTGAGGTAGTAAGCAACTTCAACTTTTTTAAAGGTAAAAACACAAGTTCAATCGTCGAGAAAGGTAATTTTTGCACTTTTTCGCTCTCTTGGTTATAAAAAAAAAAAAAAAAAAGTTTAGCCTAAGATAGATTAAGATGTTTTATTCTAAATTTGAGTCTAGCCTATCTAGACCTAGCTAATATAGAGTTTATAAATTTATTTAAATCTTACTCATAACAATAAAGTATATATAAAATATTAATATTTTATTAATTAGGTGAATTTGAGACATAGCTTGAAATAAAATCCCTAACTAACTAAATTTAAAATTCTTTACTCGAATTAGATTGAATTGGGAGGCTCTTAGAGCCATGAATATATTTATATATTTATTGCAAATATCATTTATAGATTGTAATTTTTTCTTTTAGAGATTATAATCTTTTTACGGCTTTCAAAATAGTATTTTATAACAACTTTTTAAGTAACTTTTAGAGTTTTGATCAGTTAAAACACTAATGCTATTTTTTATAGAGGATATTTTAAGAAACCCTTAAGTTACACATTTATGTTTTAAAAAACATCGAGTTTAAACTTTTTTTTTTAAAAAAACTACCTCATATTCAATAATTTATCTAATAAAATAAGATTAGAGGATATTTTAAGAAATAATATATTAAAGAAAAATATCCTTAGCAATGAATATATTCAATAATTTATCTAATAAAATAAGATTAGAGGATATTTTAAGAAATAATATATTAAAGAAAAATATCCTTAGCAATGAATATCATAAACATAAATAAATTACTATATCATTTATAAATGACTTAGAGAATCTTTTTTTTTTCTTCTTTTTAATTCTTTTGAATGTGACATATCTCATGATGTAACCCTAAATCCAACAATTAATTGTTAGGTTGATCTCAAAATCTAACATAAAATTTCACTTTTTCTATTTTTGTTTCCCTAATAATCTATAGATATTAGATCATCTAACCCTTACTATCAAAGTTAGAGAAATGTTTTTTTTTTTTTTACATTACCATATGAGGCCGTCATCTAAGATGTAACTAAATTCTATAAGAGTTGATATTTAGTTGAGCTACTAACCTAACAAAGGATTCCTTTGAAAAGGGCTACTTTCAAAATCGCTAAATTTATAATTATTAAATAGTATTGGGGGGGATCGAATGCCTAAAGTTTAGTTTATTTTAAGCGCCAAAAGTTTAAATTCGGGAAATTAGAGGACGTTCATGCAAAAGATAGACTTTCCCATTTTGGTGAGTAAGGTGTCGGCCATAAAGTTAATTGGCTTGACCCCACCCCACCAGGATTAGGTCAGTGGTGGTGAACCAGTACACACGCGTCGTAGGGTATCAATCAAGTTTCTGTAGAGGGTGGACACGTGGCAAAACTTCAGTCCGATAAGGACTCGTCACTGGGACCTACATATGTTCCTTCCATGCAAACGCTGGCCTAATCCACTATATTTTTGCCACGTGTTTTTGGATTTTCCTTTCCGCTCGCTCTCTAATCCTCTTGGGTTTGCAAGATGCCCACGTCTCACATGATAAATTAATGTTATCTTAGAGATGTCATTAAACTATAATACGCGGTTTAGTGATTAGAGAATAAAAATCAAACCTTCACAATGTTTTCTTTTCTTTTTTTTTTTTTTTCTTTTTCTACTTTTATGATAACTAATCTTTTTATCACTTTTATATTAGCACATTTTAATAAATTTAAATATTGAATAAAATTATTATGGATATAGTAAAATTATTAAAAATATGATTCATTTGAATTTTAATAAAATAAGAGTGTAATTATTATATAAAATTCGATATACATTCAAATGAAAAACCTTCAATAAAAATATGAAAATTTTAGTTGAACATTAAATACTCAAAATTTCCTTTCAAAATTAAAGAAATTTCGTGGGTATGGCTCAAAATTAAAGAAATTTCGTGGGTATGGCCTTTGTGATAATATAGAATGTGATAATATAAAATTATATATTAAAACAATAAATAAAGAAGAAAATAATATATCTAAGCTTTCATCTGAATACTTATTTAAATACCTGTATAATATTAAAAATATATATTTCTGTATTTATAAAGACTCTTAAATAGGAAAAATCAAGACTTTAAAGATACAGACTAATATATATTATATTTTTATGTGGGCTTAAATAGTGTTTTTTTTCTTGAGTATCCGGAGAAGAAATTTAAATCTGAATCTATTGTTAAATAGTATATATATTTATCATTAAATTATATTTCGGCGTGTAAATAGTAATTAATTTATTGCTCGTGCATCGAGAAATCCACGAATACACTATTACCAATTTTGGAGCTATCCTATGATGTAACTGGGAGTGGTGGAATAAAATATGGAAAGGTGCTGGTAACTGTGACCTAATAGTATAATAAAAGTAATTATTATACAAAATTGTTACCGTTAAATGAAAAACTTCAGCAATAATATGCAAAAATATTTTAGTATAAATGTTAAAAATTAAAGAAATTTCGTTAACATAATTATAATTTCTGGAAAAAAAAATCTTTAAAAAAATTACGTGAAAACACAAAATAATAAAATAGTTTGCTGTAAAATATATCTTAAGTTATATATAGAGATGAATTTAATATATCTAATAGAGAAATAAAAAAATATATAGAGAAACAATAAGTAAAAAAAAAAAATTGCATACATTACTTGGCTAGATCTGTTTCTTTGAAATATTAGTTGCTTTCATTCTTTGCATGATATTAAAATATTTATAGGAAGAACTAAGAATTAAGTATTAGGAAATATTTTAATATTAAATTAAAAAACTAAAACTAAATATATTATCAAAATAGTTAAATTTATGGAGCAAATGTGTTTATGATAATTTATATATATTTAATTATTAAAAAAGATATTTTAACTTTATAGGGGTAGATGCAAACTTAAAGATTACATACTATACAAAATATATTTTTAAATGGGTTTAAATAGTAATTAATTTATTTTAAGCATTGCTTGTCCAATGAAAAATGCACAAATGTACTCTTCCCTAATTTTGGAGCTATCCTATGATGTAATTTTTTTTTTCTTTTCTTTTTTGTTTCTATTCTATGATGTAATTAGTAGCGGTGGAATGTAACATATAGAAATGCTAGCAACCGACATTGATATTAATATTTAATACTTAATAATAGTATTCTCTTTCAATAATTATCATTTAATTAATCTATATTTATATTTAATTTAAAAGTAAATCATCTATAGCTCTATGGTTTCACACCACTTATAGTCTCAAATTAGTTCTTATTTGTCGCTTGATCTGATAAGGATAATTTAAATCTACGTATCATATTAAATTCGATTCTCATGTACGGAACAAATACTCATTGGAGCACTTTATTCTTTAATGGAGCCATTTCAGTACGAGCAGATTTAATTTTAATCCAATACACTTAGAAAACAGGTGGTTAATAAAAAAAAAAAAAAAAAAGATAAGTAAGAACAAATAAACAATAAGTGTTGGAAAGAAAATGTAATTAAGAGATTGTAGCTAGCATTCTCCAAGTAACATGTGTCCACTGTTAAGTAATAAAGATTGGTGTCAAGTGTTTGTGAATGTATTAAGACTTGGGTGTGTGAGAGTGACCTATCGATGCAAATGAAAATTATATAATAACATTTTTTTTTTTTTGAAGAAAAAATTATATAATAACATTATATAATAACATTAATTGATGTTAACATATCTCATTATCTCAATGTCTTTTTTGGCCAATAAAATCCAAAACCTTCATAGAGAGGGTTTTCATTTCAACAGTGGGATTGAAGATTCACCTACATTTTTTTTTTTTTTTTAATGTATGGTATGGTGAGTGGTAACATCATTTAATGTATATCTTGGGATTTGGGTAACCTTTTGAACAAACATGCTACTTTGATTATCTCGTAGATTGATTGATTTTTTTTTTTCTATAATATATTTGTTTATAAAACGAAGAAAAAATAAATAAAAAAAACAGATTTATTTTATATTATATCCATTAAATATCAATATCAATATTTAAAATATGAAATTGACTTCTTTGTATTTGAATGGATATATAGGGATTTAGTGTCTCACATTGATTTGATTTGTACATTGATTTGATTTGTATTGATTTAGTGCATTGAATGAAAATGAAATTATATTTTCTATTTATTGTTAAAATTCAATATATCACGGCTCTTTATTTTCCACTTCTAATCTAATTTATTTTCGTAAAAATATAAAAACACTATACTCTTAAATTTATTCGAAAAAAGAAATTTTTCGAAAATAATTTCGAATCACGCATAAATTAAATTGAGATATTCATTAAAATACATAAATGATAGTCATTTAAATTGAATTTATTTAAATCAATAAAATAAAACTACAATGAATAATGATAAGGAGTAGATGACCAAAATAGACAAAAGAATAACTATTGGAAAATATTATATACGCTTTAAATATACA